ACATTCCCCTTTTTATAGCCTCATTAAATTCCCCATTACATTACAAATTCAGGACCTGATCAGACAGCATTTCAAAAGCCGGATCTGTTTCATCCAGGATTGCAAGAAGAAATTCTGCCCTGTAAACAGAAGCAATCAGTAAAAAAAAAAAAAAAGAAGCACTTTCCTTTACCAGAACATCGTTGTTGGTGAATATTTCATACTGTAGCAGCCTGTATAGTTTTCATCGTTTTATCACATTGAACAGCATAGCAGCTTTGTTCAGCATTACCCTTCTTAGCAGTCAGTTGCCAAATGCCTGACATACAGCTGTACACAGTGAAAGATCAAGTTGTTACATAATGAGAGCTGCCTGTAAAAATCGTAGTACAGATGCTGCAGAAAAAGGGTACTGCGGGCACTGAATGTCTTTTCACTAGTATTTTTTCCCCCTTAGATTATACTGGTAGGACCAATGAAGCTAAGTGGTTTTAGGGATATGGAGTAACTTTGAACGATTGCATAAAACATTGGTGCAGTTAATATTTTATGGAGAGAGTATAACTCAGTGTTCTGGCTAATCAGTACTATAATGAAAAAGCATTTATATAAAAAAAAAAAGAAAAGAAATAGCCGTAATGTTGAGTCACAGGAAGATCGAATAATCCTTTTTGGTAAGAACAGATGCAAGTGTTTTTGGAGTACAGTATATAATGCCAGCCTCTAATAAAGAATGATCATATGCAGCGCAGCTTTTTTAAGATGAGAAGCACATTCAAAACCTACAAGGTATAAGGGAGCACTGACATCTATATATTAGTCTCTTGTAGCATGTTCATCGCTACCTACACAGCCTCTTAGCATTTGGATTCTACCTTGGAAAACTGCACAGCGTGAATGCCGAGGGTGTTGAGCATTTCGACGTTCTATTTTTGAAGGCCAGGGTACACACAGCGCACAAGCCAGCAGTCGTGGTTTGTGGTGTCGCAGAGCTTTCCGAATCCTTTGCCCATGAACTGCCGTCTGTACCTCAGCCCGACCGGCAGCCTCTACCAGCTTTGCCAAGCCCTCCTTCTGCCTTGCTACCCGCATTTCAGCTTGAATAAAGACATAGTGCACCTGTTGGACTCTCATCTCCAACGCGCAGAGAGCCCGCCGGCGGCACTCCACCGCCATTAACTTGCGTCGTGCCTCCATCAACTCTGACCAAGGTGGGCTCGGAGTCACTGGAAGCTGCTCCCCCTGTGTGGAGGCTCTTCGGGATGAACGGAGAGGAGGAGATTTCAGAGGCGACTGAGCTGGAGAACTATGCGAGGAGCTGCATGATGCATGTCTGCGGGGAGAGGATTTTGATGCAGTAGTTTTCCGGAGAGAAAGTGATGGATTACGGGGTGGTGAATTCTGCACGTTAAGGAAGGCATGCTGAGCGGAACGCTGTTCATCAGGCGCTTGCTTAGAAGTCAGTTTTGGTGAAGACAATTTAGATGGTGAAGGTTTTGAGCTCAAATTATCAGTCAAGTTAGAGAGACCTGGAGAGGGCTCCTGAGGGTTTTGGTGATTGTGCTTGGGAGGGGACATATTTGGTGAAGAAGAATCCAAAGAGTGTAGGCTGAAAAAAGATGACTGCAAAGGAGAAGCGAGATTTTGTGGAGTGCTCAATGTACTATCAGAAGTGGAAGGATTTTCAGAAGCCTCATGTTTAGAACCAACAGGAATTTCAAGAAAGTTAGGCTTTAAGGTAAAGGTGTAAGGTGCCGAAGTTGACTTACTGATGCTAGATTCATTGGTAGCCCCCACTTCTGCAGGGGATGAGCTTGTGCAAGGATTCGGAGCAGACTTTTGAGGCAACCCTTGTGGGGCAGAGGCTGACCTTTTTGGAGGATGACAAGGTGTTGATGAAAATCGAAGAAAAAGGCTAGAAGTATTAGCGGACTTCCAAAATGAAGAAGCATGAGAGGAAGGCACAGGTTTGGCATCTTTGGTCTCAGTCTCTTTTGAAGACCTTGGATGTTTGAAGACCCTCTGAAGATTCCACAAGGCACTGCCCTGCACCATAGGCATGGTAGCAAAGAGAAAAATAGTAGTACCAATGGCAAGGCTGGAAATCACACACAACCAAGAGTCCTTGGTTAAAGGATCTTTCCTTCAGTGTACAAGGTCTCCTTCCTGGTGATGTAATCTTTAACCGAGAGCACCAAACATTTCTAACATGCCACTCAGCGACAAGGTGAACACGCAGAAGGCATTAGTGGGTCATATGCTTTTTCTCTCCCCGGCATGACTTTACATCTGTCCTAAACACCAGATGCAGAGACTGCTCTCCCTTGGCAATGAGAAGCTCAGTGCAGAGACCTGGCAGAATATCAGGACTTCTTCCTCATATGCAGCCCCTGTTCGACGAGTGCTACACGAATCCCTTTTTCTTGCATACATACCATCAAGCGCACAGAATACCCGGACTCTGCTTCATCCACCGTTCTGCAGATCTCTAGCAGCGATGTGACGTCACCGAACGAAGAATGAGGGGGCAGTGAGTCGCCTAAGCGCTAGAGGCCAAACAAGTTAAAGCCTTGCGCGCTATAGTCAATGCAGGTGTGGCGCGGCGGCCATATTTCCGGAGACCGAATAGCGAATACACCTGGCGAGAAAGTTAGTAAAGCTTGTGGAAGTTATTGGAGTACCTGTGCGGACCTGATTTGGTGGCCATAAAGTGCTATCACTATAGCAGTATCACTAAAACTAAGTTTTCATTATCAAGAAGACCGATATAGTTGTAAGTGATATAAACCACTGTTTTCTCAGGTGATAACCGCGGATATATGTTGGCTGTACAGATCCCATTATAGGTTGCAGAGAAGCGCCGAGAGACTAAAGAGTAGCGGTGACGTAGGCGCGCAGGTGGGGGCGTGGTTGGTGCACACACCTGGTGGACAGGTAGAGGCGGTGGTGACCGGAAGCGGAAATTGGAGCTCGCGAGAAACCCGGAAAATACCGGAACCGACCCCCTAGAGACTCTCTGGCTCTTTGTGAAACTCTTCAATGTGAGTTAGGAGACGGCGCGATGTGGAAGTCTGAAGAGAGAGCGGGTGGGAGCAGGAGCTCGCTGGAGGGGGTTAGTCGGGCTGGAGAGCTCGGCCACCAAAGGATGGGAATGGTGAGGAACGACCGAGGTGGGTGTCCTGACTTCGTGTATTATAAAAGCTGTTGTGTGATATTCTAAACTGACCAGGATATTCAGCTTCGCTGGGGGTCAGTGTTGAGATGACTTGGAGACTATTGCAGACTGAATGGTGTATACTTTTGTTGTGTGATGCAGGGTTTCAAATGATACTGGCATACATAAATGTTTATGGACAGATACAAAGGATGTGTGTAACAAGATTAAGTACCAACAACATGCTCTGTTTTTGTTTACTACAACCCAATCATGGGGGTTACAGTGTATGTGTAGCCTAAACGTTTGTTCTTTTTGGGTTTGGATAGAGCAGATTAAGCATATACTATACTACTATACATATGCATGTTTATCCTTTGCTGTGTGACCAATTGCTAGGACTGCCACCTGCCCAGTAGAAATAGAGCCTAAAGCAGACCTTCACTGTCCTTTTTCATATTATTGTGCCCTCCTATAACACAATCGCGGTCACTTATGCCTTTCCCACCTAGGTGAGAGTTATGTAACCCCAGCTGTCCACAGCCTTCTGGGATACCCATGTTACGAGGCTTTGAGCAATCTAGAACGCCGCACATGCAGAACCGTAGCTAGCTCCTTGGCATAAGAATAGCATAAAAATTTTGTTTCGTTTGACGAAACTAATGAAAACATTTTTAGTCTCCATTTACTTAGTCCGAAACAAACTTTTTTAGTCTTTGCACATGTCTAGTAGTGTGTGGGGGGGTGTCTTTTGGGGTTTTATTTTTTTCACTGTAGGGGGGCTTTGGGGAAATGTCAGGGGTCTAAATAGACCCCTGACATTTCCCTTTTGAAAGAGATTGAGGACACATAGTTCTCTGACCATACTTGTGGGGGAGAGCAGCAGGGATCTGAGGAGAAGCTGGAGCCTGTGCTGCTTCTCTTCTCCCTGCTGACCTGCGGCTGTGTTGGCCGCCTGGTGCCCCTGTTGCCAATGGCGCCCTGTGCTCGCTATGGCAACAAGGGAGAGGGGGCGCAGCCAGGCCGGCCCTGGATGCGCCCCCTCTCAACTGCGCCTGAGGCGAGTACCTCACTTGCCCCATGGTAGCTACAGCCCTGTGCACATACACCACGTCATCAGGCTGCAAGAACCCACAAGAGGCAGCCAGCTTCCTGATGTACAAGAAGAAGATGAGGGTGCTTGTCCTAATCTCCAATGCTGTTTTCCTGACAACGCTGAATCCACTAGGCTTGTAAGTTTATTTATGCAGCATAGGAGGAAGACAAGGTGTGTGTGTGTGTGACCCCTTTAACAATTAAATAAAATAAAAAAAAAATGCTAGAATTTTTTCCCCCAGATATGGTGACAACCCTACCCAATTCAGAGCTTTCAATGCACTTCATGTCCTGGAGATGCAGCAGGAAATCTCTCCAAAGTGAGGAAAATTCCTCCTATGCTGCAGTCATGTGCACTCGGGTGGGTGATACGAGGTTCTCATATAAATTGTCTACAAATGCCTTCCAAACACTACTCACACTGTTCTCTGACTTGCAGCCCTGAACTGCAGTTGGTGTATTTTCCATTTATCCAATAGCACATGAACATAGCATTAGACAGGTGTTCCCACTGCAAAAGTTTGGATGTCTACAAAGACATTTAAATAGGGTGAATATTTCTAGTGGGGAGACCGAAAAAAAACCTGACAGATTCTAAATGTTGCCTATGCTATCCAAAAGAAAACCTGCATAGGTTAGATTGTTCCTTGGGTAATGAACATTACCTGTTTATAATGGATGAGAGTTTTAATTGTTTCCAAATTTGAATACCTGACTGTTTCTGGCCTTTGTTTCCAGGACTTATTCATGAAGAAATGCCTAGACTCCAGCCAATGGCTTTTCCTCATGGTCGGGGTTCTCCCCCAGCCCACCTTCCTGCTCAGCGCCACAGCTCCCCACCGCAGATCTCAAGTGTTCCAATTCCCCGACGCAAGAGCCCACCAGAAGACATCACTTTTATTTCAGGGTCTGCTGAAACATCACCAGAGGGTCGACCATGCTGCCCTTCACTCTCGCGTGCCTGGTCTACATACAAAGCAGTGCTCTGTTACGTTGTGTCCTGCAGCTGCTGTCCACAGAAGGACCCCGAGGTGTATCTTCCCTGTTCAGTGGAGGGTACAGACTGTCCGTCTTTGAATGGGCACCCTGGAAATAGCCCTCGGATCACCCGTTTGAGTGAAAGAAAAACAAACCTGGGTAATAGTTTTAGTTACCCAGATCTTAAACTGATGGGGGTACCTGTGTATAACAGACAGCCTGTTGTCTCAGATATAGAAACTGTAAAGGAGACCCCTGTTCCAGTGCCACCTCCAGCACTCCATAGTACTTCTGGGGATTACTACTCATTGCGGGAATCGGATCCAGAGCTGTCCCGGTTAAATGGCTCCCTTTCCAGTGCGGATATTGATGTGCTCATTTGGCATAAACTAAATGAGTTGTTTAGTCTCCATCAGATTGATGAGCTGGCAAGGTGTACATCAGATACAGTGTTCCTGGAGAAAAGCAGCAAAATCACAGAGTTAATCAGCAGTCTAACACAGGACTACCGACTGGAAGAGCAAGATGCTGAGTGTCGGCTAGTGAGAGGTATCATCCGCATCAGTACTCGCAAGGTTCCACGACGTGGAACCCCCTCCCGCGGTGGAGAAAAGGGTGGAGGGCAACAGCATAACAGCCGCAGCGGAGGCAAAGCACCTGACAGTGGCAATGAAAGCATGCAAGAGTCTGGACTTACTAGCCAGGATGGTGGGCATCTTTAAAGGGAAATTGGTGGGGGTACATGTTTTAGGCAAAGGATATAGAATATGACTAATTTTTATTCTTTTTTTTTTTTTTTCTCTGGTTTCTTCCTTTTTGTCTTTGCTGTCTTTTCTGGCCTTCTGTATTTTCTTTCAGATCTGGATGTGAAAATTTCACAAGAAACCTCATCGGATCTCATGGCTCGTAATATGAGGCGATATAGTGCCCCAGGTAAATCTCATGTTGTATTTATTTATTCATTATAAAATGTCATGAAGAGTTTGAACTTATGTCAAGTTCTTACTGCTGCCTGCAAACCTGGAGGTTGGCAGCTTTACTTTGACTCCAAGCACAAGTTTTATTCATGTATAGTAGGGATGGGTTAGAGGTTCTGTTTGGTTTGTATTTCTGTATCTGTTCCTATTGGAGAGATTCCCCTCAGTTTCCTGTTGCTACCACAGTGGTCTTTGGAAAAAAGGGAGTGAGGGTATATATCCCCATCAGTGATACAAATACAAATCTTCCAAAATATAAAAAGAAAAATATTCAGCTGGAACTTTGTTAAATGATAACCACACTGAAACTTACTTTGTGCAGTGGATATGATTTTATGTTCTCTGTGGTTTTTTTTTTTTTTTTTAATGCACAGCTGTGTTTTGTTGCAGTTTTATTGTTATAATTAATGTACTATGCTGATTTGTCAATATGTCCCATTACCACATTTGTTTTGCCAAAAAGTTGCTCCTCGCTGCTGTCAGGAGTTAAATGTTAAAAATGCACTCAAGTACCTTTTAACTAATAAGGTAACTGTACCTTGTGTGCATCACTCAGCTGTAGATCCTCAAATCATCTCTGAATTGGTGCTGACACTGTCCTTCCTTCTGGAGGGTGGCTACTTTTGTTCCCCATGGTCCCTGTTTGTGTTATACAGTAGCCACCACTCGAAGCTCACTGCTGTCATGGACTATAACTTGAATACAAACTAGTAAACTAAACATGAGATTGTAGTCCATCACAGGAGTGAGCTTGGAGCGGTGACTACAACACACAGGCACCATGGGGAACAAAAGTAGCCACCCTCCAGAAGGAAGGACAGTGTCAGCACCAATTCAGAGATGATTTGAGGATCTACAGCTGAGTGATACACAAATAAGATACATTTTTGTTAATAGTTAAAGGAGAACTATGAGGCGAGTGATTTTCCATATAGTTAGAGCCGACCTGTGACAAACTGTCACAGGTCAGCTCTATTGATCGGAAAGTGAGCAGAAACTTGCACCCGATCCACTCACTCCCCGATCGTCTCCCTCAATCACCGCTCCCCCTCTCCAATCCTCCAGTGCTGACTGGAGAAACAAACGGGAGAGGGGGCGGGTATAGCTGGCTCTACCTCTAGATAGGCAGAGCCAGCTGTCACTCACGCAGCTGGCTGGTTCTCGACAGTAATGTCGGGATCCGTCCTGGCTTCGGGATCCGTCCTGGTTCTAAAGAGAACTATGGGGAAAACACTCTTTTAAAGGAGAACTATGAGGTGAGTGCTTTTCACTCACCTCATAGTTCTAGCCGACCTGTGACAAAGCTACCTGAAAGCGTTTTTAAGATTTAACTCCTGAGTATAGTATCACTTTAAGGCAGTCCATTTATGAATAGGTTGCCTTTAACACATGGCCCAGCAATACCTGGAAGAAAAGAAAATCTATTTACCCAGTGTGGGAGTATTGGGGTGCATTTTAAATGACCATATTACTAGCAAAAATGTGAATATGCCCTTAATTCCTTATCCCTGTACTCATTTTGGGTCAAAACTAAAGCCAAATCATCTGACAGCCAAGAATGTTTTCAGAACATCGCCTACAGATTTTTCTCATTGCTGATATCCATATAGGTATAGCTTGTTTTTCAATTTCCTAGTCTATTTTCATTCTGCTGGGATATTCTTTAACAGACTTCAATTATTAATGTATTTTAATGTTAAGGACATGACGTACAGAATCTGGTTTCTAAGGGTCAAAGTATGCGATCAGAGACTTTTTTTTTTTTTCCTTTGACACTTTAATAAATGAGAGTAAATGAGATTTGTGCAAGTCAGTTTTAAAAGCCAGACGAAAGCTTGATGTTCTTCTGGCTCTGACTGAAACACAGATGAGGGAATTGGATTTGTGCTGCTCTGTTTGGTTCACAGGGGTCTATACTGGAAGGTCAACATTGCAGTTATGCCATATTTTTTTTAATGGAGATGTAATTTCTAACAGTTTTCGTATTTTTATAGCTGCTTTAGGCTGTTTTCTTTACTTATTTTTTAATGTGTTGACTAAAGTGAAATTAACCTAGTGAACACTGCTAGATATGGACATCCTATATGCACAGCACTATTGACCACTATCTATAAAGAAACATAAACTAATAAATAACCTCTCATTATGTAGTCTAACGATCAACATCTACTATAGTCTACTTATATGTATATATGTTGTATTGATTTACAATTGCATACTTTTTTCCTTTTTTTTTCCCTCCCACAAGAAACATATGGACAATTGTCCCTTGTTCGTTCTCTGTGATCCCTGCTATATAAAGTAACAGGTGACATATTCCAATATATGCACAAATGTAGCACATGGTGATTGTGAGTAGGTGCTTCACGTATCTGAGTCTACCTCTCTAATGCTGTCTGCTGTAGGACATTTCTGTTAGTCACTGGTGAGGTGGGGTTAAGTTGGTCACGTAATGCTTTGTGTCTTAACACAGATGGTATTGGTTTTCTGGTTTAAATAGATGTAAAATGAGATGCAGATTAGTGGGCCTCAGTCATAAAATCTAAAGGAGAGATATTATTTTCCATTGATCAGCAATATATTTCCCTTTAGTCTTTATGAACTAGGACCATTGTATTTTCAAATTTGTATGCCTTTTACTTTTTAAAGGGTCAATCCTTTCAATTTTTGGTAGATGCTGAAGAGTTTTAAAACACAACCACATTATACCTTGTGTTAATTGGGGTCTCTACTGAGGTGAGATACCCCTGTGTTTGCCCTTCAGGGTCTATACGTCTGCTGTCCCTGTTTGTTTTTTTTTCTCACTTTTGTCTTGTATTATTGATAATGCAATAGGAGAGGCTGTAGTTGGATGGAAGTAGAGTCTGCAATAGTAGTATCATATTTGGTTTGTATGACCCCTATGCATTTACTCCTCTTGTATAGCAGTGCATATAAGCACCATATAAAACTCTGCATTTGCAGTGTGGAAACAGAAATTGCCATGGTAGCACCCAATGTAATATCACGAAAACTACGTAAGGGGCTCTGTGGGCAAGAATATATACAGCTAGCTTTTGTAAAGTTTTGGCAAGCTTCCGGCAGCTTTGTTGAAGCCTTTAACATCCCTAAACTGCAGTAGAAAGTTGCTTTTAAAAATATTGTAGATCCGGGGAGTGGCCATGATGTAGAGTGAAGAAGACGTACTGGTGCTGAGCTCCCGCCATCCTGTTACTTATTGCAGCCTTCTACCCATCCAGCTACCCCTTTATCTTTTTTCTTCATTACTTACCTCCTCTTCGCGCAGTGATCTCTGTGACGCCCGCCAAGTCTAAAGGCTTGAATACTTCGTCAGGACAGAAGAGATCAGGCACTGTGGCCACCTTGCCCTCTCGCTTGCAGACCGACCCCCCTGTTGAGGCTCCTGCTCCGTGTACAGTGTCAGATCTCTCTATTCCCTGATTCTCTGCGGAGCTTCAACATCGCCACAGAACCTTTGTGGATGTCCGCAAGAGGCTGCTTCAGAAGGCTATCAAATATGGCATGCTCTATCCCAGTCGCCTCCGTGTTCAGCATGCTGGCAAGGTGTTATTCTTCGATACTCCGGCTGAAGCGGATGAGTGCCTTTTCTACTTTGGGGTGAACAGTATTCTTTCCCCTCTGTGTTGCCTTGCCAGGACTCCTGCTATACAGAGTTGCCTGTCTCTGCTGCTGCTTCAGAGCCGCAAGGGCTTGCCTCCTCTTGGATGCTTTTCGTTCCCCTCTAAATCCGTTGTTTGGGAGTTTCGGCACTGTTTCTGCACCCATCTACACCCTGGATTCCCACTAAGCTCCTTCACCCACTACTGAGATTACTTTTGGTAGAGGTCCTTGTGGGCGCTACGTACTTGGCACTCAGTTGAGCTTCACTTCATGTGACTGTTTTTTTGGGACGTTGTTTTTTCTCTCTTTGTTAAATTTTTGGCCGATAAAACCACTAGCTAGTTTGTTGGGGTCTGCTAGATGGTAGGGAGTTTAGCTTTCAGGTGTTTCACTTTTTATAGTCATCCTGCTCCTTTGCTCGGAATGCCTTATGTGTTGTTATTTCTCCTGTTTTAGGGTATCTTTATTATGGCTCGTCCTGGTGCTGCTTGGATGAGTGGTGTGGAACCATGGCTATTCTTGACTTATTTCGTGATGTCCTCTCAAGTTTGCTGTCTTGGAATGTCAGGGGTCTTGATGACAAGTTTAAGAGGTCCCTTATGTTCAAATTTATTCAGTTTCATAAACCCCACATATTACTTTTGCAGGAAACTCATTTTATGGGCAACAAAATTATTGCTCTTCGCAGGCCTCGTATTCAGCAGACGTTCCACGCCACCTACCCTAACACAGCGACTCCCCAAGCAGAGTTGATCAGTAAATCTCTGGATTGTAAGGTATTGCATGTTATCACTGATCCTGGAGGGTGGTCTGTGGTTATGACCATTCTCCTCTGGAACTCACATTGGGCATTGGAGGTGGCTCTGGGGCGCAAGTATGGCTCCTAGGTGGATTTCAGATCCCACTGTCTCTGCCTGTATTGCTAACATGCTGAAACCCTATTGGGAGATAAATGTGCACTCTGCTGCCCCTCGTATAGTTTAGGATGCCTTTAGGGTACATTGCAAGGAGAGTATGTGTCTGCCATTAAAGCTGCTAGAGTTGCCAACAAGGCTCTCACCGACCAGTTGCTTCTGGTCATGCGGAGCTATGCGATGGCCCCTCTTATGACTTACTGCTCGTAGAGATCTGGTTCTCCATTACAGCTCCTTGACACATTAGGATTTGGGGATAAAAACACATTTGGGGATAATAATAATCTCCTGGTGAACTTGATGGCTGAACATCGCTCTGTCACTGTCATTCCTACTATTCGCCAGAGTAGTGGTCTCCTAACATCTGACCCTACTGAGATCATACAGGAGTTCCATACTTACTATAGTAGTTTGTATAGGTCGTTTTAAACAGCAAATTTAGTGCATAGAGGAAAGTACAAAGGGTAAGGGCAGAAAATATAAATTAAAAAAACCTGATGAATTCTGAGCTTGGAAAAACTGGTATAATCTCTAAACCACATGTTCCTTTTTTGGGTTTTGTTAATGTGTTCATGATTTCTTTTGGAATAACTTCTTGCTTCGCAAACAGTGCTAAATAACTGAAAAGGCTAGCTGCACCAATTTTAGCATGAAACATTAAACATTTCAGCATGTTTACATCATGGTAAGGCTTTGGGAGATTTGTTAATCATGCAAGTACTAATGGGTAGAGCACAAGGACCCCGGACCAATTTTTTTAATTTATAAAGGACATGGCCTGTTTTTTATCAGTGTTTCAATTTGGTAATATTGAGAAGTCCATCCTTGCTTCCTTCTCTAAAATATGTTTTTTTATTTCTGTGTCTGTTGGAGATTTCCAACTCCTGAAGTGGAACACTGCAATGAAAGCTGACAGATTCTAACCATTCATTGCTCTATAAAGAACTTAAAAGCACACCATTTTTTGTTTAAGTCAAAACACTTGTTTCATGAGCAAGCGACAATGGTGTAATATCTGGGAAAAAGTGAAGTGTCATTAAATTATTACCATCTAAACCAGGAGTCTCAAACTCAGACTTCTTCCATGGGGGCTGCAAGGGGAGAGAGCGAGGAGAGACAGGCAGGGGGGCGGGTGAGGAAAGATGGCAAGCAACACATCTGCCTGAAGCAGAACCCCTGTGCCCTTCAAGACTTATCTGCACCCTGTGTTTCAGACACCTCCTTGCTCCCCATGTTCCAGCATGCCTCCGTGTCCCGTGCCTCTTCCATGCACTCAAGTTGGAACACCAGGATCCCCTTGATTGCCCCTGTCTGTCTGACATTGTGACATCTTGAGTCTGGGTTTCTGCTGGCCTGAAACCCAGACTGTCTGGATGAATCCCTGACAGGTGGCAACCCTAGCTATGTCCCTGGCAGAAGCAAGAGCCCCATCTCTGTCCCTGGGCCCCCCTGCTGCTTTGATGGGGTCCCGGCCCAGTGCAGGAGGCGTCGCTCCCTCCCTATTGGCCGCCCTGCTTGTGGGCCAAAAGTAACCTGTCTGGAGGTCAGTACTTTGAGACCCCTGATCTAAACCTTAAATCAATTAAAGGAAACTCTGCACATGTTTCCTTTAGGCACTGGAATAATGGAAAAACTAATGTGTGGATGATTGTTTTTAAAATTCACTCCCATCATGTAAATAGCATTAGTATGGTAGATATTCCATAGAAAACATCAAAGAGATCTTGCCTTGACTCTGCAGGCAATTATATCAGTGGCTTGCTTTGAATAGCTTGATCTATTATACATATCTAAAGAATGTGTAAGACAAACTGGCCTGTGAAGTACATAGGTCCTTAAAAGTTATGTATACATTCTTTAGACAAGCATTTGCCATTCTTTCTACATGACCAAGACACATGGAAATATACTGATTTTCAGAACAAAACATTACCATGGGATTTGTAGTCCAAATGAAAATATGTTAAGGAACATTGCACTCTAAATCCATAATGACCATAAACAAATTTGTGTGTTAGGAGCACAGTGCAGTAATCACTGCTTGCAGGTTCATTTGTTTTGCCACAGATACTTGTAGGTGGAAGAATAATAGAATGTGTGGTATGATCAAAGCATTGAAATGTATGCAGATTAGAGCTGCAACAACTATTCGATTTAGTCAATTAAAATCGACGATGGAAAACGTTAAAACGTTTTCCATCGTCGATTAGTCGGCTATCTATTAAATTGCCTGTTCGCGGCTCCACACGAGCCCCGCACGCCGTGCCCCACCGCACACGCCACGGTCCAGCCCCCTGGCTCTCCTCTAATCCCGGCGCTCCTTACATCTAGCCAGGCCGGTGCAGTTGAAGCACAATTTAAAGCTTCGAAAGAAGTGCTTCAATGATTGGATTCCTGTTATATTCACTGACACCTGAGCGTAGTGTTACTGGAAGCTTGTAGCTCAGTGAGCTTCCTTTGGGGCAGAATCGCTCTTTGTGAACACCCAAAAAACACATGTCTTGCCCAGTAAATAGGTTGTTATTGGCTAATATACTGTAATTTTTTAAAAAATGCTCAAGCCTATAACACCTGTACAAACCCCACCACCACCCCAAAAAAAAAACTCCAGTGCAAGTGTGAATGGAGCTTTAGGGGGCTTGTATCTGCCAGGAGTAGCCAAACTCTGGTGCTCCATTTGTAGTTTCACCACAGCTGGAGGGCTGGAGTTTGCCTACCCCTAATTTTAAGCAGGTTCTGTTCTATCGTCTGAAACCTGCTTTTAAAGGGGTATAGTTCAGCAATAATTAGGGTTTAAGGCTTTCGGGCTGTACAGCAATTCACACATGTAGCCATGGTTGGTATTTACAACATAAATATGTGATGCAAGGCATTTATTTTTTATATCAGCAGAATGCAGTTGCGAAGTTGAACCCCTAATGGATTTATTTTGCGTCTTTATTTTTTTCCATCTGATTTATAAAAGATGTTGGATGGAATTGTGTTTAAGTACAGCACTATGGAAGTGCATAGTTGCTTGGAATACAGATTTTGTCAGGTTTGGCTTCTTTTACACAAATAGGGGTTTAAAAACCAACTGCTCCATTTCACATTAAGTTTGTTTACTGATCAACCTACCAGCTCAAGCTGTCGTTGTGCCTCACATGGAGAGGCACAGTGACCGCTAAAGCCTTCAAATTGCAATAGGTGGATTAAAAATTGCCAAGTGTAAAATAACTAAAGCAGGCATTTAAACAAAAAAAACATTTGTACATTTGTCAGCTTCTTATAAAATTGATGCTCATGATGATTAGCACTGTGCAAAAAGAAAACCCTTTGTCCTTGGACTACGTAAAAATAGTTATTGTCAACCACTACCTAGTGACTGAAATTTGGTCTGAGTATCTAGGTTTAATGACCACGGGCCAGAACTGAAAGTTGCACTCCAGGCTAACTACAAATAAGGAAGCTGTTTTACCTGCCTAAGGATTTGTATTTGTCTTTCAGTCCTGACATTTACACAGCCCTCTCTGGTAGGGAAAAAGGAAGCCTGAAGTTTCTTTTGCTGCAGTTTCACTTCTACTCACAGGTTCCCTTGCCACCCCCACACTATGACTTGACAGGAGGAAAAAGCAAAGTAAAAAAAGCTGTGCTCATCAGCCTGCCGCTTTCCATTTCACTATCTGCATTGTTCCTTGTGCTGCTTCTCCCTTCCCCAGGTAGAGCTCTGCTGTATAGGGAATGCAAGAGGCTACAAAGTCAAATTTGGGTATTTTATTATGTATGTATCTTTTTTATTTACCTGGAGTTCGGCTGATGTTGGGGAAGAAGTGCTTCATTGCAATTTTATGTTGAAACTGCTTTGAAGGTCAGATTGTTTCCATAACAATACCATTATTTATGTGGTAGGTGTTGCACCATTTTATGTCAGTCTCACAACCCTTTTCTTGTAATTTCTTAAACTTCTTCTTTTTGATGTGGACCAAAAGTAAATGTAACTAATGATTGGCCGAATGCTTATCTCTATCCCTCTTGTGTGCAGGATCTCCCTTCCAGAAAGACGACTCCCTGCCAGATACAGAGACAGACTCCTCAGGCACCCCTCTGCTCAAGGTTTATTGTTAACCTCTTGGAAGGTATCATATGCTGCAGAACCGTCTGCTCATTGGGTAGAGATGAATGTCATGGTCTTCTTCTGGATTAACCATTGGAGTATTTTACCACTGAACATTATAGCTATTTTACACATTGACTACCTTTTTGGATTCCTAAAGGGAAGAACGTTTCAGCCTTGTGCACCATTTGCAATATTGATGTTGGGGATTATGCATGAACATTGTATCCTTTTCAGACTCTAGGGTTGGAACATGTACTTTGTCATTTAAATGGTGTTAATTTTTAAGAAGTCATTCATTCACTTGGACATTTTGTAGGTCTCTCTTAAGTGCTTTATGTTGCTTTCTTATCCTACCATGTTACAAAACTGTGTTGGCTGTTTAAATGTTGTGACTGATCTACACATGTAAATAATGATATAAATATGTAATTAGGTGACCCAGCCTCTAAAATATATGTGATGGGGGAAAAAAAAAAAGTGAGTCATGTCCTTACGTGTTTGTAGTACAAGGTGGAGGCAAAAGTGTGGTCCAAATATCTTATATGCAAGCCAGGAGACTAGCGCCAACTAATTGTTCTGTGGGTTTAGCAAGCTGAAAAAGGGATTTTTGTACTTGCTTTAAAATCCTCAGTAGGTCATTGGGGGTACAAAGTAGACCACTAGGTATATGCAGGATGCTAAGAAGGTAAAGGCTGGGCTTTGCTGAGCTACACTGTTTTGGAGCTATCAGAAGGTATATTTAGGTAACCATAGGAATTGTAAAACTTTACATGGGCAACAAGCCTGACAACTATGGAAACAACACATGGGGGAGAGGGAAGAGGAAAGGCCTTCAGAAAATATAAGCCAGAATGGACAGCATCGGCATTCAGAAACTACAAAGATTACAACAAAAGATGTAAAACAATCAGGGCAGAAAAAGTAGAATACAAGGAACAGATAGCAACAGGAACCCCAAGAGATTCTTTAAATACATAAATAGCAAGAAGGTAAGAACAGAACATGTAGGCCCAATAAAGGATGGCAGGAGGTTAGCTAGCAGTGATAGGGAGAAAGCAAATGCATTAAATGAATTATTTTCTTCTATATTTACAGATGAGATGGATGTGGGTAATGATCAGGGCATCAGCTGCAGAAATGGTAGTACCAGTTTAAACGTATCTCAGTGGCTATCTGAGCACAAAGTAAAATAAAGACTAAATGAAAACTAATCCCCAGGACTGGACAGGTTACAGCCGAGGGTACTTAACTTAGTTAGGTCATAGCCAGGACTCTGTACAAAATTTTCATGGACACCCTAATGACTGCTATGGTACCAGCTAATTGGTGGAGAGCATATGTGTTACCTTACCACTATACAAAAAGGGGAGAAGTTCACCGGGTAACTAAAGGCCTGCCAGCTTAACGTCAATAGGTGCATAAGAGACTATATGCAGGAATTTGCTAATAAAACTGACATCATAAGCAGTAACCAACATAGCTTTATGAAGGACTGTTCCTGCCAAACCAACCTATTACCATTCTATGAGGAAGTCAGTATTAATATAGACAAAGGAATACCAGTAGACTTGGTGTATCTGGACTTTCCTAAAGCATTTAACGCAGTACCCCACACACGTTTAATTCATATACTAAGGTCTATCGGGTTGCATGAAGTTGTATATACATTGGTGCTCATAGATCCCAGATTTGGCAATAGTATGCAATGCCAAGCAGCAGCGCAAACCAGATACGGACGTGCACCAAGAGGTATCGTGGCAAGGGATAAAAGAGTAATACTACAGCTGGCCATACACTTATAAGGGGGGTTCAAATTCTGATATCTTTAGGTTTTTTTTAAAATTATTATTACTGTGAGTAGTGAAATTGTAGAATTCCCTTCCAGAGGCAGTAGTCTCCACCAAGAGCATTGATACATTCAAGAAACTGCCCATATTTTTGTAAAGCAAATGAAATAAATTAATTGAGCAGTGTTAGAGTCAAATAAATACAGACACACCTATACACACAGGTTGAACTGGATAGACCCCTGTCTTTATTCAACCTTATCTACTATGAAAATAAGGTGGCACTCGTGTCCTCCAATGAACTACTGTAGAAGGGGATGTTATGGTGAGTACAAATATCCCTTTTTATGAGGGTTCAGTAGGTAAACACAGAGATGTCTAAAAACAGTCCCAAAACAAGGGGATGGTAAATGATCACAGCTCACAGGCAAATACCAGGTTGTGTTCGGTCCAGCCAATCACACAGCTGCTTACAACCTTTTGGCTATAAGCAGTTTTAGCAACGTTCCAAAACTTTGAAAACAAAGACCAACTGGTAGCTCTGCATGCCTGAGAGGCAGAAGCCTGATGTCAACAACCCTACTGCTCTAGTAGAATGAAAAGTGACAGGGGAGTCCAGTCCCTAACCAAATACATCTGAAAACATTTTCCAGCTGATCCACAATGCCAGAGTTGTACTGGAGGCCAGAGATAGCTCTTCCAAGGTGCATCAGGTATGACAGAGATTGTAACTTTTGGAAAGCAGTAGTTCTGAAATTCTGATTTGCTTTCACTACATCCAGACACTAAAGAGCAAACTTCTTTGGCTGGAAAGGAGATGGACAGTATAATGCAGGGCTCAAAATTTCCGCTCGCATTTGGCGAGTAAAAATAAAGTGAGGGCGAGTGGAAATTTGGGTCTCCAAGTACTACGTGGCCTGCAGAGCAGCTCCTGTCGGCTCTGGCTTCCTTCGGCCGGAGCTCTGACAGTTCTGACCTGCGGCCAAAAGAAAGCATGTCTGTGAGGAGGATCGATCCCAGGTTATGTGGGGGTGATAGTGAGGTCTGCTGCAGACATCTCTAATCACCCACAGATAACCAGGGATCGATCCTGCTCACAGCCTCCTCCCTGCAAAGATGTGACAGAGGCCTTTCGATGATTGCACTGATGAGCAGGCAGTGTGCATTCGTCTTCCAACCACGCCACCAACCCGCTAAATATTGTACGATTTTCGGCAGGTTTTCCAGCGTGCTTGGAAGACGAAAGTCGTACGACCTTACAGTAGAAGCGGTCGCACGCTGCTCATACACCTGCCGATTATCGTTCGATGGCAGAATCACCTACAACTATCGTACGATAATCGGCAGGTGTATGGACACCTTTAGTGTATGTGTATATTAGGCCCCACTCACACCTACAGTATATTTTAGGTGTGATTAGAGATTCTTGTGTCAGGAACTTGCGTTTTCCTGCATCAGGAATCCCAGATCTGCCGTTTACAAGTGGCAACTATCATAAGATTATTTAAGAGGGTGTGTTTAGGGGCGGAGTTAGGGCCAGGGCAGGGTAATGTGGGGCAACTGGTGGCTAGTAACTCTTAAGGCCTGGCAAGTCGCTCAGGACTTGAAATTTTGAGCCCTGGTAACAGCCCTACTCAGGTCTAGGGAGGTACTTTTACATGTGACCAGGAAAACACTTATGTGTAATCACGTTAAACGGGTTTGTGAGACAGTTCTTCTGTAGTAGTGAAAAATCCACCTGTTTGCAAGTACATAGTCCGAAAATCTTGCTGTTGGATAGGATTCTTATCTCTAACTATAACCATTTAAAAACAACGTAGCAAATTTTATATGGAAAGGCTTACCTGGACAAATGGCTGTGTAAAGGTCATCAGAGTAGTATTGCTTGGTATAATAGTGTCTGCAGAGCTGGAATAAGTAGATTTCAACTCCAACCTTAATAAAATTAGTTAAGGAAACTCAATGCATTTTATAGAGACCCTCTTTTGGAGTGACACCTTAAGCTGCGAACGCACACTTTAAACATAAAAATTCCAAAAAGCCTCCTCTGTGCTTCACACTTGAGCTGTAATGAGAGGGTTAATAAGTGTGTGGGCTTCCCCTTATTTAAGCACAGAGGAGCGCTTTTGGAATTTGTATGCTTAAATTGTGCATTCACTGAGGACTGTGCTACTCCTGGAGAGGATGGGAGGGTTGCATCTACTTAATTTTATTAAAGTTGGAGTATTTTGTCTTCACTATTCTTGTGGAATAGAAATCCTACATTCATCCAGCCCTGCTGGCACTATTATACTAAAGGATATTGATGTGATGATCTACAATACAAATACACACATGTGCCCAGTTGAGCCTTAACATAGAAGTCTACTTTGTATTTAAAGGGTTACACTTAGAGGCTGTGTGTTCTATCTAATGGCAATACCAGCTGTAGAATATTTTTGGATAGAATTGAGTGGATTTTTCTGTGTATCACATGCTTGTTTACTGTGATGCCACATGTAAATTACCGTCCACTGCTATGGAGGTAGGACACTGTCTTGGGATAAAAAGGTGATTTGGAAGCGTGTGTTGCAATTACAGACGCTCTCCTTGCCAAGGTGATGACAATCAAAAGAAGCTGCATTCTGAGATATAATCTTGACAAGCAGAGGTGGGAGATGCATTCTACTTTCTTAGGACACTAAACTAAACTGGTTTGCCATGCAGGAGAGTGTAGCTTAATTGCCCATCACACCACATCATCTCCGGTCCAGACTGTTTCCAGGCCCAAAATGCATCCCTATGCTATTCTGACCTCTGTTCACATCAGCGCAGTCCTACCAGACCAGAAAAATACTGCATGTCTAATTTTGTCTGGCATGCACTGGAACACATGTAAACATCAAAAACGCATACAAATGTCCTGAAATACACATGAAAGCCCATAACACAGCAAAACACGATGCACTGCATTCCAGATCTGGTCCAGAAAATGGTGTGAACCTGGTAGAGCCAAGCCTCCTTAGCATCCAACCTCTAAGGGGCAGGGCTCTATACCCAGTGGTCTGTGTCTCCCAATAAATGCAGAGTAAAGCATTTTGGGTGCACATATAGTAACATGGATTTTTGATTTTCATATAGTCCTTTATGATCAAAAGATAAGTGCCAATCCATACAGTCATTTCACGATTAGCTCTGAAAATGTTATTGGGATGAGTATGTAGCCTAAAGACGGTACATCGTAATTGACAGGCCAACCTCCTCTACGTTTCAGTCATCCCACAAGGTTGTGTGGCTGTTTGTTTGCAGAAACAGTAGTTATTTTGAGACCAGTAATTCAAATGTCATGACGATTGACCTTTAGACCTTCGGTTCCATACACATCGGTTTTAGCTTCTACAAGATCAGTGTGTACAGCAAGCTGCTAGCAAATTTGTTTAAAGCTTTAAAGAAACCTTTAGCTTCATGTTAGGGATTTGAAATACTGATAACAATGGAAGTACTGTTTGTTATCTTTTAGATCTTTCCGTGTAGCAGGACTTTGCAAGCTTCTCTCTCAAATTCCAAGTGAGAGATAACTCTGTCCCTGCAGACCACTGTGAGGCAGGCTGGAGGGGTCCTGCCACCAGAGCATGCTCAGTATGCCACCGGTGGCACTCTTGGTACAACAGCCTGCCCTGTTAATGCATGTAGGCTGGTATGGTGGCTATCTTGGTACTCCCTCTACAGCAGTGGGGACCCATCTTTGCCACATGGAGGGAGCACATTGACCTTGTCATCATCTGACACTATCAGCAACAGTACTATTGTCTTCATTGCTGGGGACATCAGGGAGGGGGAACCCTCCTTTAACCCTTTGGTGCTGGTATTGCGAGTACCCGCTGGAGCCCTTCAACTTGGCAAACTTCAAACACAAAGGGACTATGGCTTATTAAAATAAAATAAAATGTATTTCCTGAAGTGGGAGGGTTCATATAAGGGTCCTCACAGCTCTGGCTAATGTCCAATCATCTAATGATACCTGCATGTTGCCCAGTTATTGCTGTGTCACATACTGTACTCCAAGAAGTAGATTTTACTGGTAAGTAAAAAAAATATATATTTTCCAAATATTATTTCGTGATTTAATTTTGTTAGGGTAAGATGTCAATGTGAAACATGTTCTAAATATAAAATAGATGTTATCCCAATTTGGCTGCAAATGTGGAAATAGACCAACACCAACAGGCTTCCTGCAAGCTTCATGACAAATTGTCAAAATTGTCGTGTTTTTTTTTTTTTTTGAAGAGACAGTCCATGTTCCCATTGTAATGTTGTGTCTAACATCCCAAACTGCAACTAAAGGGTGCTTTAAAAGTGCCAAGGAAGTGCATATCATTTTTCATAGGGTGAGTTGTGGCTTAATTTACCATATTATTTACAGTTGGGACAATAGGATAAATCTGGAAAGACCCTTTAAAAGGAAGTCAGCCACAGAAATCTTCAATAATTTGTCTTTTGTCACTTAGCACTTGATCACTGCAAACATGTTAGGCAATGGGCAGTGGTTCACACTAATTAAATCCAGTTCCAGTTGAAATTACATTAAACATTTTGTAAGCTTAAAATAAAAAGGTGGTGAAATATATAAGGCACAGCTGCTACAATCCCTGTATACAGACAAGAATTTCATTTGATTCAAGTGTTTGTATGTGCGTGGTGCAAACTCCTAATTGAACTGGTGATCTCTGACTGCAAGTCAGTGGGAAAACCATTAAAAAAAAAACATTAAGTGACCTTAGCCGCAGACGGAATAGAGAAAAAAAAGCAAAAAAAAAAAAAGCATCAAGGTAGACTGCAGAGCCTCTATGATGTGCAGCACCAACAGTAAGGGGCAAGGTCATAAGGGGGATTTCAGCATCATGTCTGCCAACATGAAACAATACTTTCAAGAGTTCAACACGCAGATTTTCTGACCCATTGTGAAACTTTTTACACGAGTGGGAATGGGCCAGGAAAACTTGTAATTAGGTTCACTATACCCAGACAAGCCTGAAATATTATAAACCCCCATTGTGGTGGGGGGTTAAACCCCCTCCAATGTGTTAAAGATACGATACTAAAAGCACCTGTCTGACAAAACCCTTAGTATTCAAACAATTGTTTGTGCTTTCATGGCCCACAAAATACACATGGAAAATGAGCAAATTGATTGTTGGCTGTAACAATTTATAATGAAATAACACAGAAAGAGAACTGCACATGCATATTGATAGCAAATTGTATTACAACCACTTGAATTGGAACAGAGCCACTTGCTTCTCCCACAGCAGGCATTCTCACATTCACCTATGTGGGTGTGGTATTGATGGATGCGTGTACCTCTAGCCTAATGATATACATTGGAAGGATTTTAACAAACTTCATTGCAGGTCCTTACCTTTTTTGTTCTGCAAATGATAGGCTAATACAGTCCACCTTACGCAGATAATAGCCATGTTGGGGGTTCATTCTTTACTGTAATCTCATGCTGATTCTAATGTTGTTAAAACAAACCTGGGTCCCTAGCACCCCAGCTTCCTTCTACACATGCACCTTCAAAGCCAAAGAAAACTTCCAGTGGAAGAAACCAAAGTTTCTAGGGATGCCATATTTTATGATTTGGACTGCCTGTATTATGACCTTTTATTATGTGTTTTGCAGCTTATTCTCCTTAATGTTAGCTGTGCTGAGTTTCATCTCTACTGAAATACCTGGCAGAGTGCTGAACATGTTTAGGGATACAAGGTTGTTTTATTCCATCAATGGGAGGAAGGCAGACCTTTACATTTGGTGCTTATTTGTAAAACATTTCAGACAGTGCTCAAAGTATGAACTATTACAAAACATAAGTAACTAAGGATTTGTTGAAACAAAAATCCTTGTATATAGCTGACCAACAGGGACTGTATTTTACAACAAAAATGGAGTTTCGCTTTAACCACAGAGTACAACTGTCCTTGGGCGTTCTGCAGCACTGACAGTGCCTTTCAAGAAATCATCACTGATGGTGAGGATCAACTGAATTTGGCTTTAGAGAAGTCCATTTCTGGGTGTTGTTCCATGAACCTGAAATACAGAACACGAGGAAATTAATTTGCGTTCATGAAAATCACCATTTCTTTCTAGCAATACCTGTGGCATTTGAAGCCTGCTATACACTGTTCCACAACCCACAATGAATCCCTGGCAACTGCCATAGGATTGTCCATGACTGATTCTGGGTCACGCTCATTTACACTAATAATCATTCATGCTACATTATTCAGTCTTTAACCTCTACCTAACTGCAATGTGTAGATTGACATGCTACCAGCAAAACTTACCAAGCTGCATGGGATTTAAATATTTTATTAGCCGACAGGTTTGCTTTCTCTTGCACACTATCAGAAGCTGGACATAAGTACTGTGACAGCTTCAGGTACTCGTCTTGGGAACCAATTAAAATGCTACCAAGTAGGGATCGACCGATAACCCCACATTTTTTTAAATTATCAGTTAAATGGATTGATAGTACCGGTAGTGAAATTCCTACAGTGGGTGGCAGCTGATGGAAATGCCGCTCAGAAAATCTATGTAGGAACACTGCAGGCTCTGTTCAGGTACAGAAAAAAAAAAAAAAACAGCAGGGAAGCAATAGCCAACCTGCTATTGGCTATTTTAAATTGTGCAGGTGCAAGATGGCAGCAAGCTCACACCACGACAAGCTTAAACAGGGCTGAGGATTCTCTCCCTGCCAACATTTGGCAGCAGTAAATGCCTGAGAGGCCAAACACCAGCACTGTCATATGGGAGGAAAGGGAGTAGCTTGTCTCTCTTTACCACTGGTTGTGGAGGAGTAACGCAACGAGGTACAGTCACCAATAAAGTGAACCTGTTGCTTTGTCTACCATCGACAGTATAGTTATTAACATAGTGGCTCAAGGATAGGTATGTATACTGTTATTCACTTGTATTTTCTGCAAGAGCAGAAATGCCAGTCCAGTATCAGGCTGTAAGGCCTCTATAAAGGCTGGCATGTCCCCTGCCAGAGCTCAGGGCTTTAGTTTTCTTTCAAGCAGTTCTGACTGCACCTTATTTAAATTGCAGTATTTTTACCTCTCTTATCAGCAATTAGTTTAACCACCTGCTGTCCAGCCGTTGTAATTAAAGAGACGGACTCTGGCTTCTTGAATGCGGGTGGGCGTTTTTAAAAGTCCCAGCCTGCACTGTAAACAGCCAGCGATGGCTGTTTACATACAAGCGTTCGGGCATCTGTAGAGACACCCGATCGCTTGTAATAAGCGTGCGGGTGTGCGGGCCCCCCCCCTCCGCCGCAGCCTGCGATCCCCAGTGCAGCTGTGAACTGCGAGCACGGGACCAGCACAGCAGCATTGCGGCCGGAGATCAAACGGAGCTCAGTACACAAGCTCCGTTTAATCTCCTCTCCTGAATGCAGGCAGTGATGTGTATTACATCACTGCCTGCATTCAGTGTCATTCTCCGGTACAGAAACCGGAGAGAAGCTTGTGAAGCAGGTGTTTGCTTCATCAGCTTCTCTGGGGGTCCCTAGGTGACATTAGAGGTCTTAAAGACCCCTGATGTCTCCATAAAGAGGACCTGTCACTGAAAATTGGCTATCACAAAGGGGGCTTGTTAGTCCCCTATGTTATAGCAAATGTTTTAAAGAATTAGTTACAAAAAAATATATATATAAAAAATTAAAAAAGTCACATATAAAAAGGTAATTAAAAAAATGTAAATTTTTTTTAAAGTCCTCCACCCCCACATAAACATGCGTCCAGTGCGCCTAAGTGCGTAAACGACGATTGCATCCATTACGCCGCACATGTTACATATCGCCGCGAACGTCGCAGTGAGAGCAATAATTCTAGGACCATTATCACTGATAACATTAGACTGATGAGCGGAAAAAGCTTTTAAAGCGTCGCCTATGACCAATTTTGGGTATGGTAGTTTTTGCGAGTTCGCGGACGCACGCAATTTGAAAGCTTAACATGTTTGGTGTCTATTTACCCGACATGACCCCGACTTTTATATTTTGCCAAAAATTTGGGTAATAACAACTGTTTTATAACATAACGTAGGGAAAACAGGTTTGTTTTCCCCCAAATGTTCTGTACTTTTTTCATTATATAGTAAAAAATAAAAGGTAAGGATACACCTACTATAAAAACTGAAAAGAGTGTATATTTAGTTAACAAAAAGAAAAACATTGGTGCCTGGTTCTCTCTACAATTAGCCTAACAAATATTCCTAGTGCAGGGGTTTCAAACACTAAACACTTCATCCATCTAAAGTTCCCTGAAGTTCATCCGGAAATGCACAACAAAAACTTACTTTTTCAAAATGTCCTGCTTCTTCTGTTCATCTGAAGTTGGAAGGCCCATTGATTTCTGTCTTTGATCATACATCATTTTTTCTACCATACTCCGTGTCTCTCCATCTAAATCCGATAGCTAAAAACGGAAAAAGAGTGCAAATAACATCAATGCCCATGAATAAGGACCCTATAATACACACAGTATATCATTCTAATGACAAAGTGGATCTTTGGCACCCAAATCTCAGGTTCCATAATCCGTACCTTAGAGTTCTCAGGATTAATTTTCTTTGTATTAATTTCTTGTTCTGTTTGGATTACACGGTTCCACCATTCCATTGTGTTGATCTGCAGGAAACAAGAGTAAGAGATAAGTCTCTGCCTCCACAGAACGCAACCTTGGGGCACATACATAAGTGATTGCAGAATCAATGTGCATTAGCAGGAGGCTGCAGTGGATAACAGGCTGATATTTTAGGGCACTTAATGTGGTTTTTAAAAGGAGAACTATGAGGTGAGTGCTTTTCACTCACCTCATAGTTCTAGCCGAGCTGTGACAATGAGACTGTCACAGGTCGGCTCAGTAGATCGGGAAGTGAGCGAACACATACCGGCGTTCGCTCACTTCTCGCTCCTGTCACGGCTCTCTGGATTCCCCCCTCCCCACTCCGATCCTCCAGCTCTGACTGACAGAACGGACGGGGGACGGGGGGGACTGCCTCTAGATAGGCAGAGCCAGCTGTCACTCACGCAGCTGGGCGGATCCAGACATAATTGTCGGGATCCGCTTCAGCTGCGGTGTCTCAGTATATACTGAGCTTAGGGTAACGGGAGGACGCTAGTTTGTGTCCTCCCGTTACCCTAAGGAGAACTATGGGGAAAAGCCTTAACCCCATAGTTCTCCTTTAAGCAGGTAGTTGCTGTGCAGAATTAGTTTAGGGCGAGTTTGTTCATAACCCTCCAACATTGGTCCAGCACCTTTCCTGGGACCCCAGTGATGTGTTAAAGAGTCCAGTGACTGTTAGAACCTGGCTTTTGCTTTAAAAAGGAGGCACTTAACCATTTAAGCACCCATCGAATGATGACAAACATACGAGCTGATACCCGAATAGCAGGAGTTTCACAACTCTTTATGCCTTTCAGCCCTTTATGCTACCTGGATACCAGTCCAAATGCCTGATGGTCTAGGGTGGCAAGTTTTTAAAAATCACTTCAATAAAAAAAAAAAAATCGAGCAGACTTGCTTTTGCATTTAAAAATAAATCTGCAGATATCAAAAGCAGATCAAGACATTTATTTGAATTGTAATGCAATGTATATTATGAACACCAGTTAACCAGTTGACATCCGCGGTGTTAAACCCCCTTCCCATCCAGGCCATTTTTCAGTATTCAGCGCTGCGGTACTTTGACTGACATTTATTCCGTCATGCAGCGCTGTACTGAAATGAATTTTATACCCTTTTTTGGGGACAGATAGAGCTTTCTTTTGGTGGTATTTATTCACCACTGGGGGTTTTATTTTTTTTACTATATTAAGGAAAAATTACCGAAATTTAAAAAAAAAAAAACGTTTCCCCTATATTAAATGATAAAACATTTATCAGGGGTTAAAGAAAAAAAACCGGAAGCGCCGACCGGGCGCGGGGGGGTGCCGCGAACGAGCACATATAGGCGATCGGCGGGCTATGGACCCGCTGATCGCCTATATGTGAAACACCCGGTAACGGGTGTGTGCATTGATCGGGTCTTTTCTGCCCGTGCGTGCCCGCTAGGGGGCGCGCGCGAGCAGAAAAAAATTGCCGTCTGGAGACGGCAACCCGCAGATGCAGCAGTGCCGTCCGTCCGTTTTTTTACTACGGGCGGACGGCAAGAGGTTAAATATATACTATAAACATTATTGGATAAGCACAACTTATATTTTTACATGTAACTTCATATCAAAAAGTTCATATTTGAAGTGATCTGCAGAACATACAACTACTCTACTGATATGATATATTTATATTATTTCTCCTCACCTTTTCCAAATGAACTGTAACCACTTTTCCATCCTCTATCAGCCATGAGCATTCTTCCACCTTGATGTCATTATAAAGTTCTCCATCCAACACAGGCTTCTGGCCCTTCAACCCAATACTGAGTTTTTTTCGCCGAATGTCCACTACCACGTCCTTACTCTTCAGACGGAAAGACACCGGAAATGGAATAACCAGCTAGAGGGACAAAGAAAGCAAATTACGTATTCCTCTCGATTAATTTACTTCAAGCTTATATATGTTTCAATGACTAACCGATATGGCAGCTAACCTAAATCATATCCATTCTCTACAAGCCATTTCCAGGTTTACCATTTGGAATCACAGAAGAATTTTAGAATGGCGTAGTAGGAGCCCAAAAAAAAAATAATTCTAATTTTTAACTACTTGGCTGCCCGAAGCAATTTCTTACATTTGCACACACGCTACAATCTGAAATTTTGGCTAGAAAACAGCTTCAGACCCCCAAATGATATATGTTCTGAAAGCAGAAAACCTGTAGAATAAAAAAATGCTAGTTGCAATTTTTTATGTTGCAAGATATTTGCGCAAATGTTTCTCAAACCAGTATTTTTAGGATAAAATACACTAAAATGAAATTTAGTGCACAGAAACAGAATATAATACCTAACTTTTTGGTAAAATATAAAAGATGGTGTCATGCCGGGTAAATAGATACCAAACATGTCAAGCCTTAAAATTGTGTTCCGTGAAACTGCAAAAAAAACTACAATAACCAAAATTTCCCATAGGCGACGCTTTAACAGCTCGTCAGTTTCGTTTTAACAGTTGATGGGCCTAGAATTATTGCTCACACTCCAACACTCGTGATGATATGTCACATGTGTGGCACAATTTTAGTTTTTGCACGTAGGTGCATCCGCCACACGTTTGTGTTGTATGTGCATGCAAAACATTTTTTTTTAATCTGTTTCTTTAATTTTGAAAAAAATTTTTTACACTCCGCTTTATTGCCATCACATAGGAGGCTATCAAGCCCCCTATGTAATAGCAAATATAATGTGATGGGACAGGACCTCTTTATGCAGACATCAGAGGTCTTTCAGACCCCTAAGGTTACCAAGGGATCCCAAAGAAGCTGATGAAGCAGAGATCTGCTTCACCAGCTTCTTCTTCTGGCTCTAAGAGCTAGAGAATGTGCCCAGTGACACCGGATGCGATGTAATGCACATCACTTCCAGGTCCAGTGATTGGAGGAGAGATCAGCGGCTGGAAGCCTGCTGACCTCCCTCCGATCTGTCAGGGGAGACCCGCTGTGCCTGTCCCTGGCTCACACGGGGGACAGTGGAGCCTGGGAAGCCAACGGCGGCAAAGGACACAGACGCTGAAGCAGCGAACAAGCGGTCCGGCGCCTGTACAGACGCCGGATCGCTTGTGTTTAAACCGCAATTGTCTGCTGTTTAAAACGGCACCCGGAACACAGCTGCGGCAGCAGCCATGTTTTTGGTACAACCACTTCCATCAGATGACGTATTTACGTGTACCCGCTGGTGGAGGTTTAAAAAAAAAAAAAAAAAAGGGGGGAAAAACGCACATAGGCAGGGCAATATACAAAACAATACAAAAGTTCCCAAGCACTCTCTCTAGCTAGTCAGCAAAAATTGAGGATTTCGGTGCATAAATTTACAAATGCATGTAAAGTCACATGTTCCATTCCAAGGAACCTCTGAAAAGTGTGGTCCCCAACTCAAAACCATCTGTAAGACTTACTACACATAGTAATGTATAATGGGTACGGCAAGATACAGACCAATATAAAAGTTCACCAATTGTTTTATATCTCCCTGCTCCTGAGCAAGCTTGCACCTTTTTGCCAACTTAAAATTCATCTGAGTAGCTGCCATAGTTGTTTTATTGGCTTTGGAACAGACACGCACTGGGTGTCCTCAGGTGCTTCGAGCAATGATGGGCTTCCATGTTATTGCACTTTTAAGGAAAGACTGCCTCCAGGTTAGCCAGCTCTCAGTTTGTACATCACTATATATGGAATGTAGTTAGGAGCCACTTACACCAACCATGGAGCACCAGTCCTCCCGCCGACGATGGAGCACTATTCCTCCCGCTGACGCCAACGATGGAGCACTATTCCTCCCGCTGACACCAACAATGGACCATCTAGCACTATTTTTCAAACTGACACCAACAATGGGGCACTGTTGCTCCCGCTGACACCAACAATGGGGCACTATTGCTTTAGTGAAACCAACAATGGTTTAATCTATTTTGCAGTAAAGTCACACAGCAGTCCTGTCACCCTGAGAACAGCGGAGATTTAGATGGACATAAAAGTAGAAGGCAGAAGTAAGGGGACACCAGTTACAAAAAAAATCACTCTATTACCCTCAAAACAAATGGGAGGCATGATGAACATGAACATGAAATGATGAACATGAACTCATGTAACCAAGAAGCTCATTTGACTTCGTTATCACTTTCATACAATCATGAGCAGCGCCATAATAGATAGGTATTGAAGCTATCGCCAGTCCTTGAGACTGATAGACCCTGTTTATGCATCCCTCTGCCATTCTATTGCACTATGGGACCTATTAAACAAGAGATTTACTCTGAGCTTCCCTTGCAGCCAACTAACCCCACTGTCTGGGAATCCCAAATTTCCCATTGTAGCCTCTGTAGTGTCCTTTAGGTCTCGTTCACACCTAGGCGTATTGCATATGCGCGACCGTCGCGCGTTTTTTTTTACCGCGATGAGCGACCGTCGCGCGTTTCCGAAGGCTACTTGGCTGTATCCCACTGGAAACGCGCAACAAAATGGCCCAAAGTAGTACATGTACCTTTTCAGGCGTGGGCCGTATTGTAGCACTTTAGGGATGGGCGGAAATACACCAAGGTGGGAACGAGACCATTGAATACAATGGGATTTATATTTTTGAGCGTTTTGTAGAGCGTTCATCGAGCGTAGAACGCACTACAAAACGTTCAGGTGTGAACGAGGGCTTAAGAGATAAAACCTACACCAGAGTTTAACAGCTTGGAAAATGTAAACTCAGAGGCTCATCACTTACATCCACTTCTGACAGGGTTTGGGTCCAGCGGTAATGAGGAAGATCTGCTCCATTTCCTGAATTTGGTTTGAGCTTTCCTTTGTCCTTCTCATCTTCCTCTTCCTCCTCCCCATCACTACCCTGTGAAGAAAAAACAGCTGTGTTTAACAAGCATGAATTAAACATAACAAACACATCGGTATGCAGTGGACACAAGTAAAACTTTTAGTTCCAGCACGAAGGTCTGTCAGATGTAAAGGGCCCAATCTGTCCTGTCTGCTGCCAATACTAAACTGTCTAATTATCAAGAACTACTTTAGGCTGAATAAAAGTAACAATGAGCATGTAGAAAGGATGACTTGAAAAGTTCAGCAGTACATTTTTAATGTTAGGTGAAATAAGTATTTTGTATGCCTAATCATCTGCAAAATGCATATGGAGAAAAACCCCATTAATATGAGCTAGTGTTTCCTTTTACAATAAAATCTTTCAGTAGATTCTGATCTACATGTGTAGCTAGGAATAGTCAAATACACAAATTACTAAGCCAAAATTTCAGATTGAACATCAGGTTGCACATAAATTTGGTACATGTGTACGAGAAATATTTAGGCTGCTACCACTGACCTCTTCTTCTGAAACACTAGTTGCCTGGCTATGGTGGCACGATGACCCTCTGACTTCAATGCTATTGTAACTTGCCCAAAGCAAATATGCAGATAGGGACACAACCCCATTGATATTAACCCTTTGTAAACATTGATTAGGTAATCACTGCCAGACCCGTAACTTTAACAAATCTTAGCAATTGGATGAGCGATATTACATCTAAGGACTGCGGACATTTACCATTCAATTTCAATTTGTAACATTCCCGACTCTTCCCATATACATTTTATTGAATAACTTTAAAGAGATTGACCAGCAATATAATTGGAAAATGTGTGGGGGCCCGCCTGAATGAGTGGATGGTGTGAATGAATTGGACAACGTTGTCAATTCATTTTGAATTGGTGTTTGGAGGGTAAGGTGCAATATGTACATTTAATTTCTCACATATTTTGATACTTTTGGGAACAATACATTTATTTCATTGAGTTTTGCTGCCCTGATCCTTTTGTAACTTCTGCAGATTGACCTTTGTATAAGCTCAGTTATATGTTTGTTTGTTTGTTTTTTCCCTTCTTACCTTATCCTTTAGGCTGGGTTCACACCTAGGCGTATTGAATATGCGCGTTTCGTGTCACGCGATTCGCGGTAAAAAAAATGCAGGACAAACACACGTTTCCGAGGGCTACCTGGCTGTATCCCAATGGATACTCGCAACAAAAACGCCCCAAAGAAGCTCCTGTACTTCTTTGGGCGTAGGATGTTTTCTAGCGCGTTCATACGGCCTGTAATACCCCCAGGTGTGAACCATACCCATAGGAAATAATGGGATTTCGGTGTTTGAGCGTTTTGCAGAGCGTAGGAACGTGCTACAGAACGCCCAGGTGTGAACCGGGCCTTACTGATTTACATGCTTGTTCTGGGTCAGTCACTCAAAGGAGTCAGAAACAAGACTGACAACTAGCATTTTCAGGAGATGGTCAACTGTGGCAGCCCCATGTTTTTCTTAGGACAAGCACACTTTAAATCAGGAGCTTAGGTAAGATGCCCTCTGTGTTTCCACACAATGGGTCAGGTCATCTGGAAGGTTTTCGCTTTTTGAAAAAAAGAAACCATTACCACCATCTCACTTAAACTGGAACAATATTGCATCTAAAAAGGTACTCTTGTACTGACCTTGAAGCATGTAAAAATGTCAGCAGCAGTTAAATGCAGGTGGCTCAGTGGTGCAAAATGTCAGCAATTATGTGCAGACAACTACTGTTTTGTACACATACAAAGTTTCCTTCTAACGTGACCTGGAATCCTGAAATCTGGGGTTCTCTATTCTGCAAATACAAACTTCAGCAAGGAAACTGGCTCTTTAGCCCACTGCCGCCAACCACCTGTGCCTCACTGCTAGTTAGTAAGGCACCCCATTACACTGACCAGCGATAGGCTAGAAGAGCAACCTTGATTTTAGGGCTCTTGGGTAAAGCTTGCCATGCACTAGCAGATTTATTTTCCCTTACAGGCTAAATGTCATTACATGGCTCCTGGCTTCCTGATTGGCCAGAAAGCCGGCTCCATGCTTTTTCGTCACCTAGTGATGAGAAGCATGGGGACGGCTTCCCTGCTAATTGGGAATGGATGGTATGAATCTCGCATTGGAATATTGTATTCTGACAACCAGGCAGCTGCCACTGTCCAAATACATGAACAGTGACTGCAGCTGATTGGTTGTAGTCACTGTTCGGCCGAGAATTTTTCACCTCAATTTTCAGATCAAAGGATGTTGGCAGGGAGGTTGACGACAGTGCAACCCACGGAATTGAAATTTTCTCCATGTATAGCCAGCGTAAATCTAGAAGATAACTAACAAGATTTGCACAGGTATGTCTAGGCACCTAAAATGTAACTCCTGCTAGCATTTTACATGCGTCAAGTTCAGTACAGATACAGGTAACTAAAATTAAATTAGATGATAAGCAAAGAGATTGCTTAGAGACAGATGATACAAAAGATAACAGATAGAGAGAATGAGGCAAAAAAACTCAAAATATACTACCTTCTGAGCCACAGACTTTTTTTCTGTGTCAACAGCTGGCTTATCTTGCTCTAGTTCCTTAGCTTTATTCTGTTAGAAAAAAAAAAAAAATATAGTAATGCATAAGTTTAACCAGAACACAGTACAAAACAAAAGATAACATTTTATGTTTCCTACAATTTAGTTGTCTCATATTAGTTGGAATTGGTATGGTATGTATCTTTTCTCTCCCTACTGTGGGTAATATGAGATGCAAAGCCATTTTGCCCATCTGTAATGAAGCACAAGCATTCTTAAACATATCCCCTGCAAGCTTTTTTTGTTGCTATCCCACTCATACACAAAACCATATGTATCAAAATACTAGTAAAAAGGAAAAAAATATAAAAATACCAGTAGTAAGAAGTTTATCAAGGCCACCAATCAAACCCGTCAGGCTAAATCTGATTAGCAAGATCGGCAAGAAGGCAAACCTACTGTGAGAAAGTGTGAAATCAGGTGAAAGTCGATAGAAGTCTTTTTAGGTTAAAGGCCGACTCCAGCCAAAAATTTAATTTCTCCTATGAATACTGAATAATTCACATTTCTCAATGAGTCTTGCAATGTTCCCTTCCTCACACATCTAGTGTTCTGCCCCTTACAAGTACCAGGTTCATCTTCTTAAAACAATGCACCGCGCTGAACCTCTCAAAGATATATCAAACAAAAAGTGTCTAAATACTGAAAACAAATGCACCCCTATGAGAAAAGTCATATACTTTGTAAACTTAATCCATTATTGGAGTTTAATTCATTTGATTAAGTTTACAAAGTATATGACTTTTCTCATGAGGGTGCATTTGTTTTCAGTATTTAGACACTTTTTGTTTGAGATATCGTTGAGAGGTTCAGCTCGGTGCATTGTTTTAAAAATGTCACACTACATAGGTGGCACGGCAGCGGACTTTGTTTATTATATTTTTTATAACATATATATTTTTTATTTATTTTGTTGTAGTTTAGAAGCTATGGGGAATAACAACCCCCGCACTTACCTGTCAGCGCAGCTTGTCACCACCGTTGGTTGCCGAAGAGATCCTCTGTCCCGAAACATCCTGGTTGTGGGGGAGGAGATTGGGGGCGGGAGCCATAGGCTCCTTCTGCCATCAATCAACCTATTGGGTGAAGAGAGGCGTGGCCTGCCGCAGGGCCGTGTGCATCTATGGACGCACACAGCTACTGCGGGTACGGCCGGGAACGAGCACACGAGTGCCTCCACAGCAGCTGCTTAATTGATGTAGGCACCTGTGTGGGGGGCGACAGTGAAGTGGGGGCTCGCTAGAAAATGAGGGATTGAAACATTTTCAACAAAAAAGAAAAACAACAACAGAGCTGCATACCTTTCATAAAAAAAAAAAAAAGAAAAAGGTTTAATGTCACTTTAAGAAGTGTATTCTGAGCATATTGATGACATCACAGCAAAACAATACAGTACATCTCCTAAAGTAAGTGTCAGATCTGAAAATCACAGGAAAGAAGACGATCTAATGTTAGAGTGGGTTACAGTGTCAAAGTACACAAGGACACTGCCCTGCTGCTTTGACAGCGACAATACAGTCTGCTTTTAGTATATGTAGCATATATACTGTACATGCTGAAAAGAATCTAAAATATTGGTGGCACTATATAGGTAAATGCATCTATTTTGCTTTGTGGGCATGAAGGCAGTGCTATTGGCCAAATCAGCCTGTAAAAGATGTTTGCTTGGCATTCCTGTAGCTTGACAAGTTGTCTCCTATAAGCATACATGTGCTCAGTGTGTCTGGGACCCAGTGCTCCTTCTATTATTTATAGCCCAAATGTTGCCGGACCCCCTAAACTGCAAGTACTACACAACAAGCACCATATGTGTATATTTACTTGTCATAAATCTTACAGTTCAATACCTTATCAATTTCCTTTTGAAGTTTATCTGCTTCCTCATCTGTTAGCTCTGTGATCCGTGGTTCCCCAGCCTCCATAGGCTTATGCTTGGCAGTTTGCTCCTGTTTTGCAGCATTTCTTTCTCGCTCCTCAGACTCCTTCTGTTCCCTGGCTGCTTGGACTAGCTTAAGGTGGTGCTTGAAAGCATCATTGACTAGCTGGAATAAAGATGACGGTTTGCAGTTTATTCTTTTACATAAAAACCACAATGCCTACTGTGTAATGTTCGCTTACCTTTTCAGCTGCTCCACTTTCACCTCCCACAAAGAAGTCAGTTTTTCTCCTTAGGAAACCGAAGAATGTGTTTATAAGCTGTGCAAGAGATAGAAATAGGTAAAGTTTTGCGCATAAATAAGTACGGACATCACCAATATTTGTGGAATTTAGAATAAAGCTGCATTGCATTCAGTATTATAGTACATACTGGAGTACTATGGGTAGAATACAGATGTACAGTTGCAGCAAATGATGAGCTTGGTAAAACAACAGGTCATCACAGAGTGACATTCAACAATAGGGCTAGCAATACATATTTAGATTTCTGAAAGAGAGAAAGCAATTGTTTCCCCCATCCACGCTAAACAGCATGGATGGAGGAATCTTTATTGCCAGATATAGTATTCAAATAGACACAGCAACTTCTGCTGTGTGAATACCTGAACAGTGAGTGCATTTGATAAGATGCCCTCACAGTCCAGCTGACCATTTACACACCCCTCCTTCAATTTTTTCAGTCGACTTTTGTCACGCTGGGTAGTGCCCACAGGGTCAGCTGTCCAGATCCCTTGTATAGCAGCCTGTTTGTCACTCCCCCCACTGTCCCCTTCCTCTGCAAGGTCCGTCCCTGCTTGTTATCCCCTGTGTGATAGCAGTAATGTTAATTGAAAAAAATAAAAAAAAAAGTGATTAAAAAATAAATGAAATAAAAATGTAAAAAAATTAAAATAAAAAGTGATCAAAAATCAAATGTAAAAAAACATGAAAACCAACCCTGCCATCTGCATGCAAATAAATACATGCATAGGGCATTGTGTGTGTGCTCTGCGTGCTGCCCCATTCCATTGTGTGCCATATTGTGGTAGCTGGACAGCAGCGCTCTCTAACACGCACAATGTGCATTAAAGGGTAAGTTCACTTTCCCAAAGTAATTTGGAAAAATGGAATTACCCGCTAAAATCTGGCCCCCTCTATACTTACCTTTCGGTGAACAGTCCTTTCCCTCCACTGGTACAGGTGTACCAACTGTACCCCATACTCCCGTCTAGCACAGCCCTGCGCTATGGATTATGAATTTCACTCACAAATTGTGAGAAATCGTTGGTCAGTGCAGTCAGGTGACTAAGCTGGCCAATGAGTAGCCCTTCTTAGGATGGTTAAATAAGGTTTTGGTTAAAACTATTTTATTTGTATCAGGACAAGTAGATTGGGCCCCCGCTTTAAAGGAAAACTATGGGGTCAGTGTTTTTCCCCATAATTCTCCTTAGGATAACGGGAGGACACAAACTAGCGTCCTCCCGCTACCCTAAGCTCAGTATACCGCAGAGCTACAGCTCGCGGTATACTGAGACCCCACAGCCGGAGCGGATCCCGACGTAGATGACAGGATCCGCCCAGCTGCGTGAGTACAAATATCGGGTACTTATGTTCCATTCTCAACATGATCTTGAAAAGACGTGAGTGCTGCACATCTTTGATTTGTATATAGTGGTGCTTTATGATTCAAGCCAATACAAAAGGGTATGGAATAGAATATAAGGCTGCCTCAGTGTTTTCTATGAGCACCAACAATTTGACTGTTTTATTTCCTAAAATTACCTAGTATACATTACAGGCCTTTCACTAAAGAAAACAAAGTCTTACAGAGTTTTTACAAAGAAACCCCATTTTCATACAAAGGCCAATGCAAACATTTGACTAGTCAGATGGGTCAAATAACAGTTTCTCCTACAGAACGAATTGGTGCCTCCTGCCAGCTATGTAGTTGGTAGAAGAAACTACAGGGTGCGGCAGGGGGAGCAGGTAACACTTGCAGAAGCTGGAGAGCAGCAATGCCGCGGTGTTTGAAGACACAGGCTCAGGGAACGTAAGTATATTTCCTCTTCTTTAAGCAGGTAAGGTTTTGGCTACAAGTGACACAGTCAGCAAATATATTCAAGACGTAGGCCATCACCTTCACGAGGTGGAGAGAGCGTGCCGCAAACGTGAAACGGAGTTACAACTGCATTTTCAGCAGAGCTTCACGGTGCATAACATCATAGACATGTGGAGACACTTGGAGAATCTCAAGGATTGTGGACGGAGATCCAATATCAGGATTAAGAGGTATTCCTGGGACTGTCATGTCAGATGCAATTCCCCCTCTCTTTTGTCCATTTTTAATGAGCTTCTGGACCGTCCTGCAGAATCTCCCATAGAACTGGTAAGGACACACAAAAGGCAGATGTGACTCGCCAAATCACAGGAGTGACTCTGAAATTTAACCCTGCAGTTTATTTGCTACATGTCCCAGACCAGGATAGTGTTGGTCCCACAAAATCATTGCATAAACACTTGATTAATGCAGCACGGTCGCTCTTACCTAGCTTATGGAGAGACACTCGTGCCCCTACAGTACTGGGTGTGGCTGAACCAGGTAAATGACATGTTAGATGGAAGAACTTCTATTTACCAAGCAGGATAAACTTCACAAATTCTCTAAGACGTGGGCACCTTGGAGGCTTTTTGTGAGTAGTGAGTTGTCTGCGAGCCTAAGATCCGGACCTTAATTTAGACCTTGCTTTTTATCCACTGGCCATGGTGAGTGTGGTATGCAGTGAAGGATGTCTGCATATACCCTGGTGGGAGATTACTGTCCTAGTGTTGAGACACAGTTGGTCTCATATCCTTTCTTTTGTGTATTTATTTTTTCCTGCTCTCTTTAGTTCCCCCCCTTTCGCTCACCCTCTTTTTCTGCATTCCATATTTCAGCTTCCTTCCTCCAGGTTACTTGATTAGAACACTCTAGTGTTTCAAACCCATGTCCATTGTCGGAAGGGTGTTTTTATTTTATTCCTTCTATGAAACATGTCCCAATGGTATTTTCACAAGCTTTCTTCAGATATAGCGGGTACTGAGGCACTTGGAGCTCTGACCGCCCCCGCAGGGATGCAAACTCAACAAACTAGCTCTTTCATAGTGAAGACACGTTACTCTGGGCTAAAGAAAGTGTGCCAAGGTGCCTCATTAACTGTCCGGCATGGTGTAAGGTGGGTGTTTCTAAAGGACATGGTATATCCAGCCACAACTTCCCACATCTTCAGCATCAACTCTCTTTCAGGCTCTGATATAACAATACATATCAGACTAGTAAAGGAAATTAAATATCAAAAGTAGAAAACCGCACAGCAATCAACAAGCTTTATTCAACTGAACATGTACATTGCAGGTTCGTGTGTGATAACTGTACATAATGCGTTTTACCATTATAGGCTTAGCCGTAACTTGATGAATGAGCCCATAAGGGTGAAATGTGTTGGCTAGGGGCAGTTCTTAGGTGGGGACCCACAATGTGCATGTTCCTTTGAATAAAGCTTGTTGAGAGGAAGTGACAAGATTGCAGTCAGCGTTTTACTTTTGGCATCTGGCATACATGGAGCGAGGACAAGTTCCTGTAGACGCCACCTGAAGCACCCACAGCAAAAGTGGGCATTAAAAGGAGTTTGCAGCAGTGTGGCTTCTATCAGACAAAAAATAAAGACGGTTGGTGCTTATAGCTTTCCATCTGCCAGATACTGTGATCTCATGCGAGGTAGAGAGGTAGCTATATAATGTCACTAACACATTGATGTCATGGAGTCTGCACTATACATCCACTATCACACAGCACCGCATGCTAGGTACACTGCATAGCCACCCCAATGCACCTCTCAGCAGGCAAACGCTGGGACCACAATACTTTGCAGTGCAAAAAAGTAATGCATGCACTAATTTTCTTCACCACAACACCCACCCAGAGGTGCGTTGGTGGTGACATTTAAAAGGAATGGCACCGCGACAGTGCAGCACACTGTGTGATAGCATGCACTATACACTCAGATCCTGTGGAGGGAATTTATAAACACTGGAGCAGACAAAATCTGGAGCAACTGTGCACGGCAACCAATCAGCTTCTTTCATTCATTTTCAAATCTTAGCTGAACAAACTGAAGAGAGAAGCAGATTGGTTGCCATGCACAGCTACTCCAGATTTTGTCTGCTCCAGTTTTTGTAAATTCCCCTGTGTGTTTAGTGCAACACTATGGTGTGAACAGGCCCTACACAGTGAAGTATCTCCACTCAAGGCCACCAGCCCAGAATATATTACTGGCCCCAAGCCCAGTCCTCCCCAGACACACAGGTTGGTATAATCAGGTTTTGATTGGATATTGTTATACTCAATGAACCAGGAATTGTGTGTGGCACCTACCCTAGTAACAAAGTTACTTATAAATAATGCAGCAGTGAATGCATGAGTTTATTGAACCCTATGAGGTAAAAGTCTATCAGTGAGAGAGAAGGGCCGAGTGTAGACAGCGCTCACCTCCTGTACGCCGCCCTCATGCTGCTGAGCCATAGCCAGCAACATAGCGTCAAATCGCTCCTCATCCACACAACCGCTGGCCGCCATCCTGCTCCGTTCAGCACACGCCACAGCACAGCTTCCGCAAAGCACCAACACGCTCCTCCCCCCCTTCAGTCAAGCCAATTGCCGCTGCCACGCTATACCCGTTGCTACAGTTACCCAACGGTGCTCTAGCAACACAACAGGAAGTGTCGTTACTACAACTCTATGGTCCTAAGGAGAAGGTGATTGGCTAATAGCTGCCGCTAGCTGGAAAATATTTCCGCCAATCAGCAGAAGAGTCTAGAATATTCTTAGCGAATCTTCCCCAGTGTAGTTCCGTATAGCGGGGAGTGCAGCCACCCCCAAGACTCGGGCTTCCTAGCTCTACCAGATCACTATCCCTACAGAAGATCCCTCAACACGTCTAGCTATCGGGAATAGAATAAACTAGCCACGCCTTCTCTCAAGTAAGATGGCGGACGGTACGCAACCTAGGCAGTTGGCTTCCGCAGCCAAGATGTCGGGCCGTCACGTGACTTCCGCCAGTATTTCCGGAAAATGGAGGCGCCCAGTTCTCCGGTGGTGTTTGTTGTTAGTGGGATTCCGCGGAGTTTTCGGTCGGCCCAGCTTCGTCATTACTTCAGCCAGCTCACGGAGAGCGGCGGCTTTGTCTGCTTCCATTACCGGCATCGCCCGGAGCTGAGAGACACGGAGGGTAAACCTGTCTCTTTCTGCTGCCCGGTGACTGTAAAGCCTGAGAGAGCCCACGGCTTCCGTTCCATGTACCATGGCAAACCGTGGCTAGATAAAGATGGCAACCAGGTGCCCGGGAAGTGCCTCATCTATAAGGTGCGGCCAGCTGCAGAAGAAGGTGAGTGTGTTTCATACACAGAAGCATCTTCTTCTAACACTACTCTCCTATAATTGTTGTATAGATAGGCAGCATATTTGGGGGGTGGGTGTTAAAGAAGACGTCCAACCTTGTATCATGGTTAACAGCTTAGCCTCCTACCCCCTAACTCTCATAGTGTATATTGCTTTTTATCTCATGCTTCTGAGTGTAGTAGAAACTGAGATATAGACTGACTCTCTCTCTCTCCTCCTTTTATTCCTGACTATGCTCAGCAAAGGAGATGGCCTCCTGTCAGCTCTTATCTCCCTGCCTCTGTACTTTCCAGGCACAAAGCAAGGCTCCCCTTCCAGTGCCTGTGCTGATTATTGGAAGAGTGTGTCCCCCTGCATTCTTGTGACCTCACTTCTGTCTGGAAAGTACAGGGACATGGTAGATAAGAGCTGTCAATCCAGAGGCCATCTCCTATGCAGAGTATGGTCATGAAATGAAGAGGAGTGAGCAGGCAAGTCTGTATCTCAATTTCTAATACACAGAGAAGCATGGGATTATAAGCAACATGCTATGTGGGAGTTAGGTGATAAACAATACAAGGTGAGACTTCTTCTTTAAATGTGAACATAATGGTCATGGACACCAGTCTTAGGCCTCATTCACATGTCCTAAGTCAGTCATGGTGCACCAAGTATTCTGCAGAGACATGCAGCCAGGATCCTGAATGTTCCGATAAGCCTGTACTTCATTGATAGGCTAAAAGGAGCTGGGGCTGTCCATACATCCAGCGGAGATCAGCCTTGGGGGGCTGCTAGGATCGGTCAATGTTTTGATTGAGTGTGATCCTTTATGAATTGTATAAATACTTTACATCTGGTGCTGAAGAACACAAGTAACCATATATTATGTTGTTAAAGCTATCTGTATTGTTTAATTGTGTTTTGAACACTCTTACAGATTTACAAGACTTTCCATACAAGACCCGTCGCGAGGCACGCTGTGAATCCCAGAAACATATTACTGATGTAGAAAAACAAGTAACTTCAAAAGACTTGCTTAAGATGTCTGAATTTAACCCCCCAGCACTCATGTCTCAAGGAAATGTTGGAACACCAGTATGCACTTTTCTACAGCTAATAAGGTCTTGTCGCTTACCACCAAAACTTATATCACGATTGGGTCTGCAGTTCCGTCGCTCAGGACGACACTATGGCAATGTTCCCTTTCACTATGCAGGAACCGAGATTGCAGAGCAAGAAGAGGGTGTGTATACAGCTACTGGACATGAGATAAAAGAAGGGGGAAGTATAGGATCTAAAGTGCTCGAAGAGGAGGAAGACATTGTGGAGGAGTCACAGTCTAATGATGTAAGTATTGAATCTGTTACCACCTCCTTGCTGAGAAGGTGATTTCAACTTGCCAGACATTAAAAGAGAACTATGGTGAAACCTTTTTTGGCTGTAGTTCTCTTTTGGGCCGCAGGAGGACATTTACTAATGTCCTCCTGTGACCTAGAACTCAGCATATAGAAGGCTATTGTCTGCTTTATGCTGACAGCATAGTGCTGCGTTGCACCCGGGAAGGATCCTGGCAGTATTGTCAGGATCCACCCCACTACCGGAAAGTCAGCTGGCTCTGCCTCTCTAGTGGCAGAACCAACTGTGCCCACCCCCTTCCCTATCTATCCTTCCAGGCAGCACTGGAGGAACGGAGAGAGAGGGGGGATCTCTGTGAGGGGGCTTTACTGACAATGACTGCTCTCTGCAGGCAGAAGATCGTGCACTGAGCAATCATCAGCTCCAACTATAGGGATGAGTATATTTCACTCTCACCATAGTTCTCCTTTAACCGGAACCCCTTTAAAAAAGGGTTTGTGTAAAACCGTGATTAAAAAGCCCAACCGGAGGAGATCATATTCTAGACCTGGTAGTGACAAAATTGGATCGTTTCATGTTGATGCGAGAGATTTGTGTGTGTGTATATATATTACATAAGTGAAGGGGAAGTAAGCAGTTTCTGGAGGGGGCAGAAACTGAGTTCACCTATTAGTTTGCCCTTTTTGTGCAAAACACAGGTTAACCTTTATAGTTGACCTAATAGTAACATGCAGGGTAAGCGTAATATGTCATGGCCCCTCCTCCATCATAAGTAGCAGCTTTTAGTTGAAAAGAAAACTGTATGCCTTAAGTCTAGTCTATTGGTGAACATGTGCACAAAGAAAGCATCTTCAGAGACACTTCAGGGGTGTGGAAATTTTTGAAAAAACTACTTGTCCAAGGGCTAAAGCGGGGGCCAAATCTACTTGTCCTTCATAACAATCTACTTGTCCCAATACAAAAAAAAATAGTTTGAATTAAAACTAGGGATGCACCAATACCGGTTTTTGGGTATAGAGTACCGATATTTTGCTTTCGGTACTCAGAGTATCGGTGCTTCCTTTTGCATGGAGAAGGCTTCCCGGGCAATCAGGAAGCCGGGCAGCGGGTAATGGGATGCTACCCAGCTTCCTGACTGCCAGGGAAGCCGACTCCATGTTGTTTGGCTGGCTTGATTGTGAATGGCTAGGAAGCCGGTTTCCCGGTCAATCAGCATCGAGCCAGCTTCCTGCCCAATCAGGAAAGCGGGCGGCGAGTAATGACCTGATTGACCAGGAAGCTGGCTCGATGCTGATTTTTCCCAGCCAATCAGCAAGGAGCTGGCTTCCTGGCCAATCAGGAAACTGGGAGGCGGGTTATTAGTCGCTGCCCCGCTTCCTGTTTGCACGGGAAGCTGGCTCCATGTTCCCCTACGGCACTGCCGGTCAGAGGAAACCTTCCTCTGACCAGAAGTTCAGGTATTGGAGAAGATATCGAGCATTTGGGCGAGTACAAGTACTCCATTTTCCCATATTACCTGGGAAAGTGAACTTGCCCTTTAATGCACATTGTGTGTGTGAGTGTTCTGCTGCCTCGCTACTACAATATGGCACAGTGAAATGGCGGCAGCACTCAACGCACACACACAATGTCCTATGCATGCTTTTATTTGCATGCAGATGGCGGGGTTCGTTTTCATTGTTTTTATTTTATTTTTTAAATTGTCACTTTTTTTTTTTTTTCGGGGGGGGGGGACAGAATCGCCGCATCTCGTTTCATACAAGTGATCAGATCACTTGAAAACTAGCGGCGGCTTCACTATGTACACTTAGCTCTGCTTGTCCGGAGCGGGCCTAAGTGTACAAAAAAAACTACTCGCCCGGCGCCCAAAACTGCATGTCCCGGGCGTCGGGCGATAGGAATTCCACACCCCTGCACTTAAGCTGAGAACATTCCATATAATTTTAAGCACATTCTTAGAAACATTAAAACCAAAATAAATCCTTAGACAATTTATTATATGTAACCCCACACATACACAAACTGTCCAAATTGTTCTCATCATTGGACGAAATGCAATCCAGAGGAAATTTCAGCCAGTAGGGCTCTTCATGGCAGTTCTCAAAGGACAGGAAAACAGAGAAACTATAAATGGTCATAAATAAGAAATATCTGCTCAGTCCATTATCTTGAGCTGCTAACCCTCTATCATTTGTTACTTTTTTTTTTGAGTTTTGTAACATATCAGTTGAATGGAATTGCATGTTATGGCTCTTGATTTAGCACAGCATGTAACTAGACAGTTGTCTTTTCCTTTTAGGATAATGACACATGTGAGGAATGGGAGCGTCATGAAGCTTTACATGAGGATGTCACTACTCAAGAGCGTTGCAAGGAACGCTTGTTTGAGGAGGAAATTGAATTGAAATGGGAGAAAGGTGGATCAGGACTGGTGTTCTACACAGATGCTCAGTTGTGGCAAGAGCAGGAGGGAGGTAAGGATTGAAGAGCTGCATATTTATTAAACTACCGAACAATCATTAATAGGGTTATTTACTGAAGGGTGAAGAGTTTGGAGAAGGGAACAATCTAGGACAACGTAGCTGAACTGAAAAGTGAGCTGAATTGGAGAATGTTTCCAAATCAGCTACGTTGTCCTAGATTGTTCACTTCTCCTGCCTTCTCCAAACTCTTCACACTTTTGTTAATAGACCTGGCAATGTTTTAACCTTTTCGCTGCCATGGAAGTACGTCGTACGGAGCTACAAAAGTGCTTCCAGCTGGCCAGCTCAGTACGTCGTACGGACCTGGCATTTACAGTTCTACTATAAGCTGATGGTCGCTTTCAGCAGACTGTCCCCTTTAAATTAATAGCTGATGACCGCTAATTTTAAAAATACCTCTGTGCAGAGCAAACACCGGAGTGATCGTAAAAGATTTACAATTTTTTGTCCACAGTGTTTGTATGTTTAGCCTTAAAACAATATTTTCATTCCTTTACCAGATTTTGATGAACAAACTGCTGATGACTGGGATGTCGATATGAGTGAATATTATGAACCTGGTTCTGGAGATAAGGATGCTAAAGATTATTTAAAGATGCGGTTAGAGTCCAGGAGACGAGAAGGACTGGATGATGCAAAAGTGAAAAATAATGGCCTCGGATGTTTTGAGCGACATACAAAGGTTAGTAGTTGTGTTTTTTGTTTCTGCTGTATGGGTTTAAACTTCCCCGGTTTACTTGAAACCAAACCTGTAAGTTATTTTCTGCAGCAAAACAACAGGCTTTTTTAATAATGTTTCCCATGTCCATATATATCCACTAAAAACATATCCATATCTGCCTAGTTGTTCTGTTTTTAGACTTCAATAGGAGGCAAAATAATGCAGGTTGTGTGCTCCCACAGCAGTGGGTTTTTGGGGCATATTGCAGGGAGTCGGAAGAATGCTTCTTCATTCAAGTCCCAAACAGTTTCATAAGTACCCTCCTACATCATATAACTGAGAACATTAAAGTGGGGCCCACTTTCTATTCTGAGTTTTGGAGGGCATACTGCTCCAGCAAACCAAAGGAGAGATGATTGAACAACTTCAAGGTCAATCAGGTACCACTTTATCGACCAGAAGGCAGGAGTGTATACCTAAACAGTTGAGAGACTGTGGGGTATTTGTGAAATGCAGGAACTAAAAAAAAAAAAAAAAAAAAAAAAAAAAACCAAAAAAATTACAAGACATTATATGGAGTCATACTTCTCAGATGTCGCTTGGGGGCAAAAGCACAAAATTATAAGTTCACTAGTGTACACCGTGCTTTTGCTAAATATTGGCCTCCTGAAATACTTAATTTCAGATATGAAATAAATAAGTGTTATAAAATATACACATTTCATTCTCATATCTCCTAGTGAGTGGCTCTCGGATAATTAAATGGTACCATGGGGAGATGAAAGGAGGGGTGCAGGAGCACAGAGTCCTTACACACTCCCGGAGGAGGAGAGGTCTTTGAAATGCAGAGGGATGGGGCTGTGCTAGGGAATTGACTCTTCTTGGACAAGTCAAATTTCTTTGCAAGTTCAAAAGCACATTGCAATTCTGTGATTTATTTTTATTTTTTTTACCTGCAATTTTTTAAGTTGGTGATTATGGCTGCTTTTTATAAGCCTTTAACAATTACCCTTGTGGTTTAGTACATGGTGTTATGTGAAACATGTTTGTGCCATTTGAAAGGTAAGTACACTCGCCCTCCATTTGCCCATTTACTAATTTTTGCTTTCTTTTTACAGGGAGTTGGGCGTAGGTTATTAGAGCGTCACGGCTGGATGGAGGGTACAGGACTTGGTGCCGGTGGTTCAGGAATAGCAGAGGCCTTGGAGAATGAAGGACAACATCCAAAATGCAAGCGTGGCTTCGGGTATGTCCCCCAAACAAAAACCATAAGGAGACTTTGTTTGTATAACCATAACGTTCTATCACATGTGAAACATTTAGTTTTATCACCTAAAAGGGTCATTCCGCTCATAACTAGCATTTTGTTTAGGAGTGCGTGTAAAAATAGCTGAATATATACGGTACATTGGATTTTTATACCCTTAAACACATTTTAGCGTCTTCCTCATGTGCTCTACTGGTAGGCACCTCTTCCAACACTTTAAAAATAAGTCCTTCTGCCAAACTGGTCAGTCATTTTGCTTCCTCCTTCTGGAAGAGCTGCATTGCTTGGAACCTGGTGGAAGGGGGCTTGGGATTCTTATCCGCAGCCAGCCCCCCCCCCCCGTGCCCCTTTGCCATACCCTCCTTGATGGTGGGGCTCTCATCCTTCGTTGCCCCATAGTCTTTTCCTCTTTACTGGCAGTAAGAGGTCTGGACCCACTGTGGCCTGGTCTTGTGTGGTTCCTATATGGAAAAAGTAAGTTAGTGGCCCTGCTGGGGATGCCCCAGGGTGAGTTTGCTTTTCTCTGCAGCACCTATTGCTATTATTCACTCGAGGGCAGACCGCATCTCCTGGCTATGACGTACACCTGTAACACCAGTGTAATGCATGTAGGCCTGTAGTCATTGTCGTTTTTTTTTTTTTTTCCCCTGCTGCAGGTTTGTGTATGTTCTTAATGTACAGTATATGGGAGTTGGGTATAGGCCCAGATGAAGAAGCTGCACTCGAGGCTACTGCTTAAGCCAATGCTGCTTTGACGGTAGTTGTGTTGGACATGTGGAAAGAGCATCTCCAAACCTGTCTGTACCTAGTGCAGATGAAGCAGATTGGTGTCTGATCTATATGGCAGTTTTGACCGTCACGGCAGAAGTAATCTGTGGGGAACAGACTGAGGCGTCAGAGTAATAACCAGCCCAGCTGGGACTGGCACAAATTGGCTGAGTGCAGACAGGGCTTTACATTTAATAGCCAGAGGGCTGAAAGCTTTGTTGTACAGTATGGAGTTGCTATAAAGGTTAATTCCACTTTCTTACAAAATGTGAGAAAATATACTTACCCGAAGCATTCTGCCACCTCTACCCGGCCCGGCTGGTCATACGTTTTAGCTGTATGCAGCCCCACACTGAGGACCCAGCATAACACTCGCAAATAGCGAGCATTTATGGTCAGCATGGTCGCATGACCACGCTGACTAGAAAGAAGCGCATCTACTCTATAGAGATATAATAAATATATGTATGCTAATTAAGTCTGAGTAGTACCCTGAAAAGTACCATTTTGTTGTTAAATTACTCCTGAAAAATAGCAATGCACTTCTGTATGTGAGGATGCCTAGTCACTTGTTTTTCTCCCAATCTAATAGCTGTATATTTGCAGTGTGATGGCTAAGGCAGTACTGTCTGACTGCTAGTTTTAGCAGATTTTAAGTGAGATTTGGTGATTTCACTGCTGTGCTGCTCACAGTTTTCTGGAAAGACACAGGCAAGAGATACAGTACATAACAAGGTAAATTGGTATCGGAGAAAGATCAGCTGCAAAGAGACCACAGGCAATAATGGTGACTAATTCTTTGTCCTCTGCTCTATATTTTTGGGCACGGCTTCAGAGTTCAGTTTTTCTTTTTAAACTCTCCAGAATCTGCCTAAATCTTGAGTATTTATTTTAGTCAGATTACAGCTTTTAAAGTGTAATTTCAGGAGACTTAAAGCCCAATTTAAACTCTGTTAAATTTAGCTAAATACATTGCCGCTGTATAAATTCCTAAAAATAAGCTACAGTCTGTTGAAGAACCTGTGTCATGCTAGTGCGCTCCAGTGTGTGACCCTTGCTCTCTGTGTTGAGGTAGAGGTAGGAAATGCCCCTTTCTGAGTCGGAGCCAGAGCTCTCCAATCAAGAGGGAGCATGAGTTTTGCTGATTGCAGAGCTAAAGGTTTGACTCTATAAGGGTGTGTTGGACTTCTGCAGTAGGACCACTGCTTTCCCACAAAGAAGTACTAAAAACTCTAAATGCAAAGGAGCAGGAAACCACATCTAAATACTAAAAAGCCAAGTATACATGCAAGTATAAAGATCAGGTGGCTCTACCACCTGACCTTAAGTGCCAATAAAAGTGTGACAGGTAAGTTAATTGACTGTGTCATTAGGAGTGCCTGCAAGGTAAACACAGAAGCAAGAACTCAAAGCTGGAGCCACCAGAAGAAGGCCACAGAGGTATCGCATAATCAAAGACCTGGTGGTAAAAGGAAATGCTCAAGTACTTGCACATTATGAGACGCTTACCTCTAGGTCTGCACTTCTCCTCCAGCAATGTGAGGTCTGAGCTCTCTACGTCCACTCTGTCCTTGCTGGGTGTCTTCCTCCTTTTGCTGTCTTCTTGCTTCGCCTAGTGGGAAAGCACTAATGATGTAACTCAAAACAAGTGTGCTGGAGTTACACTATCTTGGCTCCAGGCTCCATTCCTAGCATCAGATGATGGGACAGTATACTGTACTGAGCATGCACCGCAGTAATTGTTCAGATTGAAAACCATTGCTGGAATGTAAGTAGGGTTTTTGGCAGAAGGGGTGTAAAAAGTCTCCATTACCACCTACCACAATTTTTATGTTTAAGGGTTTACTCCTGCTTTAAGACTTCTCCCACAAGTATTTGCTTTGTGACAAATTCCTTATAACTCACTGGAGTTTAAGTATGAAAGGGATTGTAAATATGAATGTTGAATTTCATTCTATTTTTCACAGGTATCACGGAGAAAAACTGTCCACATTCTACCCCACATCGAAGAAGCCAAAATATTTAATTTCCACAATTTATGATGAACCAAGAGAGGAGGATACGGGAGAGACACTGCTCCGACGAATGCCCTCCACTTCTATGAAATATCGGGACAAACCGATAAACCGTTGAGTGTTTAGAAATGAATGAACTTAATACAGCAGCTATAATGACTGAAAAAGAAATGAAAAGGAATGTTCTCGATCAACTCTGATATCCTGCAGAGCCTCTGGGTGTGAGCCTGAATCTCATAATGCATCCATGGATTTCACACAAGTATTGCAATAGCCTTGTGTGACAATTTTGTATATATGTTATATACATAAAGTATCTTATTTACTGATAACATTATTATAATGTTTTTTTTAATGTATTTTTGTATATTTATTAAAGGAATAAGTGTACTTCAAATGTTGTTGGGAAAAAAATCCTTCCCAAGTCAGTGCAAGGATGTTTGCAAATGCCATTGTACAGGCTGCTCACTTTCTGCAGCCATTTTCTTCTTTTTAACAAATTTATAATTGGCTGCAGATTAAACTATAAAGGTCACACATAAGAAAAAGAATCTAAAGTTGACTTTGATCATTGTCTCTCTTTGTGCTATCCTAAAAAAGGGCAGTCTTATCCCACAAATACCCGTATAAAAGGTGAAGCATTTTGTTTTGTTTACAAAATCTTACACACACAAGTTTGTGTTTCCTGCACCACATGTAAAAATTATAGAACTAGGAATTTGCTCTTAATAATGGAACATAGCAACAAACCCTTTCAAAAAATCTAAGCTTAAAGTGCAATCAAAACAAATACTAGCAGCTTACCTCCATTGGTTGTGTTGTGAAAGGTTTTTTTTATCTCTGCAACTTTTTTTTTTTTCTTTTCAAAAAGTGAGCCTTGTCACACCAGGAGAGGAATTCCCTTATTGGCAGGATCGGAGTCGGTGTCTCTGCAGGAGCGGCAATGTCACCCTAGAGCTCATCAGCCACGTTACATTCTGACTGTACAGTCTTCTTTAGGTCTTTCAAAATCATGCAGTGTGAGGATCTACCTAAACTATTCAATTTGTATCCAATCGGGTAGGCACTATTTAATTGTTGGTAGTAGGGCTGGTAATGATTAAAATTTTCGTGTTCGATTAATCAAAATGTTTTAAAATCGATTAATTTTGATTAACTACCTCCCGGCCGGCCATTGTGTATACACGGCCGGCCGGGAGCTTCTTGGATGTAACTGGGCGTGTATACGCGCGAGAGCGGGAAATGCCGTTATTTGAAAACGGGCAGCGATGCCAGTTAATATACAAGTGATGCGCCGGCTATAGAGCCGGCGGATCGCTTGTATGAGGTCCCGTGACGTGCGGCTCCCCCCCCTCCCTGCTGTCAAGCTGGTCCCGGGCTCCGGTGTGAGCCCGGGACCAGCATACTGCCTCTGTCACAGGGGATTAGAGGGAGGTCGGTTCACGATCTCCCTCCGGTCCCCTCTCCGCTGTCAGAATGCGGAAGTGGTGTATATTACATCACTTCCGCATTCTCGTGTCACTCTCCAGCTTCAGATGCTGGAGAGAAGCTGATGAAGCAGATCTCTGCTTCATCAGCTTCTTTGGGGGTCCTTGGTGACATATGATGTCTCCATAAAGAGGACCTGTCACCTCTTTTGCTATCACATAGAGGGGTTTCTCAGCACCCTCTGTGATAGCAATAAAGTTAAGTGAAAAAATAAAAATAGGAAAAAAATTTAAAGTTTCCCACCAAATTTTTTTAAAGTTACACATAAAGAATTTAAAAAAACAAAAAACATTTTAAAAGTCCCCACTCCTACATACACGCATGTAAACATGCGTCAGGTAATCGCCTACGGCCACTTTTGGGTATGCTAGTTTTTTGCGAAGTGCGCACAATTTTTACGCTTGACATGTTTGGTGTCTATTTACCCGACGTGACCCCGACTTTTATATTTTACCAAAAAAGTGGGTAATATTAGTTGTTTTATAACAAGGACTCCTCCCCGCTTCCCTTCGTTAGCCGACGCAGCCACATGGGGAAGGGGGGGAGGAGTCTGGTGACGTTGATGTCCCTGACGTCACTGGATCGCCGACGGGACTCCTTGGAAGCCAGCGGAGAGGTGAGTGTTTTCATCAGCGATCAAAATAATTTGAATCGATCAAAGAGTTTAACGATTAATCGATAAATGAATCTTTAATTTCCACAGCCCTAGTTGGTAGATATAAAGGAGATTGTAAGGTCAGATTTAATGTTTGTGTGTGTGGGGACTATTACCATTAACTTTATCAATCCTCATTTCCTAGTGGGTCCCCGCAGCGATCTTACCCCCGCACGAGTGCCACCATCGATTCCAAGGTGGCTGTGTGCGTCCAGACACACACAGCCCTGTGGCAGGCCACGCCCCTTCCCTCTTTGATGGCAGAAGGAGCCTATGGCTCCTCTGCCATCAGTAGTCTCCCCCCGCAACCCAGAAGTTAGGAGAACGGAGGATCACTTCGGGACCGGCAGCAGGGACGAGCGCAGCTGACAGGGAAGTGTGGCGGGGACTGGGGGTCGAAAAAAAGGTGCTGGGCCATTTTTACCCTAATGCAGAGAATGCATTAAAGGTAAAAAAACGCCCAGCCCTTAATACTACTTTAATTCTTAAAGTCTAATTTTTAAATAAAATATGAAACAATGATGGATGTCAATTACTATGGTCAGTTTCAAGTTATTATGTGGGTTGTTCTTAGGGACAGAAGGCTTTTATTTGATATAGTGTTTTAATAAATACCCTGCTCAAGTTTTTAATTGTTTATTAGAGTGCAGCCTGCTGTGGAATGTTTATCATTAGATTGTGAGCAGGAAGCAGTTAATCTTCTGTCTTTTTCATGACATACTGATTGAGGGTTCTAAAAGGATCTTGAATTGTAAGGCACATTATTGATTATGCTATAGGACAAGGATGAGCATTGTATTTTAACTCACTTTAGTTGCTTTGTGAAGCTGTGCAGTCACTGTACAACACTTTCTGCATATCATAGCCAAGGGTGGTACAAAAGCTGAAAGCTGTTCAGTAGGAGGGGTTTGTTCCCTCACCATGCAAAATAGGATCTTGGTTGAACCCAGGTGAAATAATCAATATATTATCATGATACAGGAAATATCCTTCTAAAGCGGCCATACACCTATAGATTATCTGCAGATTTTCTATGGTCAGATGGAAAAAGTGCAACAGATTCCTCCATCTACACTAAACTGTGTGTATGGAGGAATCTCCTACTGGACCAAGCTTCAGTATCTTGCTAGTTGGTCCCGCTGGCTCTCAAAATACCTGAACAATGCCTGCATCCAATCAGACTGTGCAGATATTTTGAAGATATGGGTAAAGCTCTTTAAGCAAACAACTATGGCTGGTGGACTTTTGATCGACTTCCACATGTTTCAGAGAAGGATTTTACATACCTTTCTACAATACACCAGTCTTATTCATGAAAAGATAATGGTAGACCAGGGATACCTTGATACAGTCTCTAAAGCAGTTATCAATCCTATTACTTTTGTCATGGACATTGGTGCCCGAATGAACAATTGTTAGATGACCCGGTACTTGTAGAATCTATTCAAACGGAAAAGAAAATTAAACAATACCTGGAAGAGACTGATTATCCAAATTTAACCCTTGAGGTAGCCCAAGTCTTTGAACAACATATCACGCCAACCAAAAAAAGCAATAGTACTTCAAAGCACGGTTTCTGGAAATGTGGGGCTGGACAGTTTTACCTGAGCATGCTTTTTAAAATTTCCATATGTTCTATTACTGCTTATGTACATACTTTAGCCCCCTGACCTTGGGAGAGTTTATCCCATGTGAAGACCAGATGGCCCACATAACACTATTACCCAAAGAGGGTAAGGATCTCTGTCTTTGCCAAAATTGCTGGATGGAATGTAATTTAAATGGTACAAATTACAGAATAAAATGTTTAGATTTGTATTTACTGTAAAACTACATTTAAAGGTAAAAACATAAACTAGCACTCCTCAATACAGAAAATATGTTTTGCAAAACAATATTGCCAAAAGAAAACTTAGTTGTCGCCCCACCCCCCAGAAAAAAAGCAATATATATATTACTTTCTTATCTTACATAATGACAAAATTATCATCAAATCAACAGGCCCATCGTGGAAATGTAAAAATTGCTCTGGTCCATAAGGGGTAGAAAGGTACGAGAGCTGAAGTGGTTTAGTATCTGTAGAACACCGATTATTGAGCATTTTCTTCCTTCTTGTATACAATCTGTAACAAAAATGTAAAACAAATATCAAAATATTTTTTTTAAATCTCTACATTTTTTTCTTAAATTACCTTTTTTTTTAAATCCTTTGTTACATCTCAGTGCTGCTGTTCTCTTGTCTACATACAAACAGTGATGGGTGCACGGAATTTCTCTGGGTATATATAGCCTAATTTTATAGAACCATTTGTTCCAAACTGCTGATTTAGACCATCATCAGTGCAGTGTTTTGGAAACCATGGCTTCTATGTTACTGTGCTCTGCACTATTGATGTGCGTGGGCTTGGTGG